ACCAAACCAAACCTAACCTAACCGACACTTGGATCATCGACTTGATTTGGCGTCACCAGCTTTTTATTTTTGCCTAATTTCTTTATAAAAAGATACTTTTTCAGATTAAAATTGTTTTTTTGTATTGTACATTCAGCACCAACATTATAATGAGTAAATATATCATATTTATTCATTACTAACATATTGCCAGGAAGCTTTCTGAAGCTTGTGTAGCTTGTGGTAATTAGACGGACTGATGGTGGCCCATGCTGGGTGTAGGTGGTGGTCCACGCTGGGTGCAGGTGGTGGCCCACGCTGGGTGGTGGCCCACGCTGGGTGGTGGCCCACGCTGGGTGGTGGCCCACGCTGGGTGGTGGTCCACGCTGGGTGCAGGTGGTGGCCCACGCTGGGTGTGGGTAATTACCCACGTGAAGTTACAGGATGAGAGCTCCGCTAGTGGTGTCCCGACTTCCCAGCACTCTTTGTTGTCATAGGTATGGTCTTGCATGTGGTATCTTACATACGGTATCAGTGCATGGGGGGGTTCATCCACTGCAAATTACCTCATGCCTATCATCAGTCAACAAAAATCTGGTGTCAGAACTATAACAAACTCTGCCTTCAGACAAGACACAGCCCCTCGGTTTAAGTCCCTAAACATGCTAAACATTCACTCCATACATTCTTATGTGCTAAATACATGTACAAAACGTTGTTCCTAAATGCTAATCTTGATCTGAAACTTCCTTGATAGGTTAGTTTAGTTTAGTTCATTTATTATGCACCCCATACCCATCTTGTGGGCGATAGTGGAAAGGGTCCACAAGATGGGTATGGGGGTGCATACCTTGATAGGTGTATTAGAACCCATGAGCACCACACCAGAAATAAATTCTTTGATATCCCCAGAGTCAAATTAAATCGGTGCAAACACTCCATACAAATAAAAAGACCCCAGTGTTGTAGCTGATCACTGATCTGCTCCCCGTGCTTTGTAAAATGAGCCAGATTCTGGGCATGGCTCCTGGTAGGCATGGACGGGTCTTGGAGTCCTGGTGTGTTAGGCTATGGTTAGGTAGTCCCAGAACTTATATTCCATCTTCCAGTACTGACATTAAGGACTATCTTACAGGTAACTATCCACAGTCTCTGTACCTAAAGCCTATTAACTCCACTGACGTCAATGAGATAATCCTTTCCCTTAAAACCAAGTCTGGTGCCCTTGAGGAGATACCAACTTTAATTTACAAAAAAGCCTCCAGATCTTTAGCCCCTGCTATTGCTTTGCTCTTCAACAAGTCACTTGAACTCCAAACCTTTCCAGATATTCTAAAAAAAGCGAGAGTAACGCCTGTCCACAAATGTGGTGACCCCACAGATGTTAACAACTACAGACCTATATCAATCCTGCCAAACTTGTCAAAAATTTTTGAAAAACTTATATACAAGCAGCTTTACTCATATCTAGCCAAACTCAATATACTTAGCCCTTGCCAATATGGCTTCAGACCCAAAAAAAGCACTAACGATGCACTTATTAGTATGCTTAACTCGATTCATACAGCTCTTGATAAAAAGGAGCTCCCTGTTGGGTTATTTGTGGACCTGCGTAAAGCTTTTGATACTGTCAACCACCAAAACCTTCTTCTTAAATTACATCATTATGGAGTCAGAGGACACTCCCTACAATACCTCGAGTCCTACCTTACTGATAGGCTCCAATATGTTTCTGTGAATAATACAATTTCTCCCACCCTACCCATCAACATTGGTGTTCCTCAGGGCAGCATACTTGGCCCTCTCCTCTTTCTCATCTACATTAATGACCTTCCAAATGCCTCCCAACACCTCAAACCAATTCTATTTGCTGACGACACAACCTTCATTTACTCCAGTCCTGACCCTCTTGCTCTAAATGCCACAGTAAATACTGAGCTAAATAAAGTCCATCTTTGGCTAACTGCCAACAAACTCACCCTTAACATTGACAAAACCTTCTATATTCTGTTTGGCAATAAATCCTCTAGTCTTATAAATCTCAAAATAAACAATACCCAAATTTGTAACAAATTAGATGGCAAATTCCTTGGCATTCTCATTGACCACAAGCTGAATTTCCAGGGACACATTCTAAATATATCAAAAAAAGTTTCAAAAACGGTGGGCATTCTTTCTAAGATCAGATATTATGTACCACGCCCTGCTCTGGTGACTCTCTATTACTCCCTTATCTATCCTTATCTCAACTATGGTATTTGTGCTTGGGGTTCTACTACCCAAAATCACTTACGTCCTCTAATTACCCAACACAAAGCCGCTATTAGAACAATATCCAACTCTGGCCCCAGACATCACTCGGTACCCCTACTCAAATCTCTTAATATGTTAGATATTAAGTCACTGCACATTCTCTCATGTGTATTATACATATATAAAACGCTAAACTATAATGCCAATCCTGATCTTAAAAGCTTCATAGAAGGTTGTAACAGAACCCATGAGCACCACACCAGAAATAAATACAGTTTTGATATTCCTAGAGTACGTCTTAATCAAACTAGAAATGCTCTGCAAATCAAGGGGCCCAGAATGTGGAATGACCTTCCCAACCATGTTAAAGACTGTACCTCTCTCAACCAGTTTAAGATAAAAACTAAACACTACCTAATAAATTCCCTGTAATCTACCTCACTTCTCTATTGTCAACCCATGTCTGTTATTTTCTTTTTTTTTCTTTTTTTTAATAAACACTGTTTGTCAACCTATTGTATTTGTGCTGCTTTTTCAGTCATGTTCCCCCTTTTTTTTTATCTTTATTTGTATTTGTTCTCAACATCTTTTATTCTTTATGCTCAATTAGTATTAAGTTCTAGATATTAATGTTTTTCTTGCCCGAAACGCATTGCGTAATAGTGGCTTTAGGCATTGTATGTACTAGCTCTATCTATATATCAATCCATTAATGTAACATCACTTGTATGTATATACCTTACCTGAATAAACATCTGAATCTGAATCTGAATCTAACTTAAGTTAGGAACTATAGGGAGCCTATTAGTGAAAGGTGTTTCATTGCATTCAATGCTTGATTTTTGTTATGAAGCTTCCAGCAAGTACTGTACTGTATTTGGTTGCCACTGTGGAGTATGTTGGTCTCGTGCCGTCTCTGAATTCTCAGGTCCCGGTTTTCTTAGCGAGGCACACATCTGACTTTTAATCACACAGACAATTGTAATGTCCTTCAATTTGATCTAGATCAAATAAGTTCTTGGAGCATCAAGTGGCAAATGAAATTCATTGTGAATAAATGCTGTTATGGAATGTGGAATCGGAGAAATTAAACAACACACACAACTTGTAAATTATGTAGAAAGGAATTACAAAACTCTTTTTATAAAGAACGAGACCTAGGGATAGTTTTGGATACACACAAAGAACATTGTTAGAGGAGCATATGCGTCGCTTTTCAACTTCAGACTTGCTTTTAACTACAGTACAGTATATGGAGGTGAAATACTAAAGAAACTGTTCATGACTTTTATGAGACCAAAATTGGAATATGCACCAGTTGTATGGTGCCCAAGTCTCAAGAAGCAAATAAGTAAACTGGAAAAGTTACAATGGCTTCCATAAGCCATTGGAAGCTACAAAATGGCTTTCATAACAGTAAAACGAGAGTTACAAGGAGAGGCTAGAAGTGTTAAACGTGCCAAAACTAGAAGAAGAGGCGATATGATACCACTTACAAATATTAACAGGAATCGACCAAATTGACAGGAATTCCTGAAACTAGCAACTTCATGAACAAGAGGACAGATTCAAGCGAAGGAAACAAAGGTGCCGAAAATATACAGTACAGTATTTGAAAGATTTCTTTTGCAAACAGAGTAGTAGATGGTTGGAACAAGCTAAGTGAGAAGGTGGTGGAGGCCAAAACCGTCAGTAGTTTCATAGCGTTATACAACAAAGAGTACTGGGAAGACAGAACACCACGAGCGTAGCTCTCATCCTGTAACTACACTTGGGTAATTACGTAGGCTGAATAAAGTGTTTGAGACTTTCATATTTACTTAGCTGTCTTGATATTGCAAGGAGTATGTGACATGTGATGGCACTGTCTTCCCAAGATCCTATGCTTGAACTTTTAGCCTGTGGCTTCAATTGGGTTCTCTTCTCATCGGTCCTGTCATCTTTGGGCAGCTGTGCTGGTGCCATTGTTTCCTGATCTCCCTAGTCTGGTTGGCTTGTTCTTCATACTACAGCTTTGAGCTTTGATCTGTAGCACCCAAGTCTTTCCAGTTCTACTTTTAATAATTTGCTTCTATTATAAAGGGATACCTTAGAAAGCAGCCAAAAGAGACTGCTTTGAAATCAGGCTTTGATTATTGTATAGGTCTATAAAAAGGAAATTTTGTACCAATTTGTTTGACTGCTCCTATTTTGCTCTTATTTCTGTTGTCCTGAGTGCAATAGCAATGTCTTAGTGTGAGGAAGTATGTGGATTGTCTGGGGTGCTGGAAGTGTGGATCTTGCTGCCACCTGGTCATGGCTGGTGTTGGTGCCCAAGCTGGCTTACTGGTAGTGAGCAGGAATCCTATGCTGGAGGGCTATTGAGTTTTAATTACTGTATTAATTTCTGACCATCATTCCAAGTTAGACTAAGTGTTCTAAAGTGAATCCCTAGTACAGGTACCTGTAATGACCATCATTTTAAATGTTCATTATGGTGTTTTGTGACATTGCCATTATCACTTTGCCTTACTGTCCAAGTTTTATTCAGTGCCTCAATAAAGTTTACCTTGAAGTACAGCTGAGTGAACTGCTCAGAAGACTGCTTTTTTGTGCTCAAAGCCTGTTTTGTTTTATGATTTTCAGGCATGTCCGTCTATCATGACGAGATTGAAATTGAAGACTTTGACTTTGAAGAAGAAACAGAGACTTTTTACTACCCTTGTCCCTGTGGAGATCGCTTTGAGATAACAAAGGAAGAATTGGCCTCGGGGGAAGATACAGCAACCTGTCCCAGCTGTTCACTTATAGTTCGAGTCATATACAACATTGTGAGTAAAATTATTCCTGTACTGTACAATATTTGCCATGTTATCACTACATCAATCAGCTGCTGATCTTTTGTAATATGGTACTGTATAAGCATTGCTGAAATCTTCAACATTTCATTCATAAGACTGCCAAGTTTACTACAGTATTACCAACTGCCTGTAGTTAAGTAAAATGATTCAAATAGGATTATTTTGGAAAAAAATAGACCCAGTGTTGAATGTGATGAAATGCCTCTTTCTGAGTGAGCCCTGGTGGCTCTAAAGCTATCTTGCTGAGATGGCTCCCTCCCAACTACTAGGAGACATCAGCCGTGGAGTTCTGTTTGACCTACTTGGGACCAGAGCCAGAGCCTGGCCCCATCTCACTAGAGGTGTAGAGATCAGGTGACACTTTGCCACCCAATGAGAAAGCATTCAAAAAGTCAGCGAATCAATACAGACTACTGGTCGGTTCAAAGAGACCGAATTCTTAAAAGTGCCAAATGAACTCCCCCAACGACATAAACAAACAACTGAATCTCTTGAAACAAGGGAAGGGAAAAGAACTATCAGGGGAAAGCGCCAAGCCATTACGATTATATAGCACTTGGAAGAGGTCAGGATAACGATTTGGGATGGGACGGGGGGGAAAGAAATGGTGCCCAGCCACTTGGATAGTCGGGGATTGAATGCCGACCTGCATGAAGCAGTAGGGTTCGAAGCTATGTCCGTGAGGATCCCAGACGTGCCTGAATCGACTGGTTCGAACCCTTATCATGGCCCTTGTGGATTTGTTCATTTGATGCATCACACTATTGTGATTTGTGTGTGTAGTGAAGGGCGAAGCGGTAGAACAGCTTGTTGGCAGAGTCCGAGTGCATGGGGGAATTGTGTAAAACCGTGGTTTGTCTCTGAGAGACTGCAGGATCTGTGTGAAATCAGTAGAACTCCTGGTTGCAATTCTTTTACCATGTCGAGGCACAGTCGATTAAGGCGTGTCTGGGATCCTCTCGGACGTAGGTTTGAACCCTCATCACGGCCCTTGTGGATTTATCCAAATCAAATGTGATCAAGTAGTTTGCGAGTCATCTCGGCGAGATAGCTTCAGGTAGACACAAGGTGCTCCCCAAGAAATGGGATACTAATTATTAATTTAAAAAAGAGGGAAAAATTATTTCTCTATCTTGAGTCTGTTTATGAGCAACAGTTGGTAATCTGTTCCAAACCGAGTTAGACAATAATAATTACAGCATTCACGGAATATAGAAATCTTTTTACATTCTTAAGTTTATTATACATCTTTTCTGGAATGTAGATAAATGCTATTGTCTGTAATTATTTTTTATGTATTTGCAGGAGGATTTTGCAGAGTATGAAGAAGAAAGTGAGTCTGTTACTAAAGAGAAGCCACTAGCAACAAATTAGTTCTGAACAATTGCAAAATATTATCCTTGTTTGTAAGTATTTATATACAAATGCTGTACTGTATAATTACCTAACTGTAATTACCTAAGTTACAGGATGAGAGCTATGCTCGTGGTGTCCCGTCTTTCCAGCACTCTTTGTCGTATAACGCTTTGAAATTACTGACGGTTTTGGCCTCCACCACCTTCTCATCTAACTTGTTCCAACCGTCTACCACTCTGTTTACAAAAGTGAATTTTCTCATATTGAGTGCTGGAAGACGGAGCACCACGAGCGTAGCTCTCATCTTGTAACTACACTTGGGTAACTATGTTGATCAGGATTAGGAAAGTTGTACTGTATCTACTGGATGCATTTAATTAGCCAGTAAGCACAGCTGACAGGTATAGCCCCAGTTGGCAACCACAGATGGCATGCATACCCCCCCAGCTACCCAGCTATATAGCATATGTTCTGTAATCTGTGGTCAGCACAGTCGCCTCGCCAGTGAATCGTCTCGGGGTTTAATTCCTGGACAGGATGAGAAGTTTGGGCATATTTTTTTACACTTGAAACCTCTCTTCATCTAACAGTAAATAGGCACTCAAGTGTTAGGTAATTATTGTGGGGTTGCATCCTAGGCAGATTCAGTTGCTGGTCTAGGAGGACCTTGAAAAGCCTTACAAACTTCTTGTCCTCAACAATGGGAACCATACAAACATTTCATAGCTTTTCACTCGGTAAACATAGTCAACTTGTATCCTATGTACTCGCCTAGTTGTGCTTACAGGGGTGGGGGGGTTGAGCTCTGGCTCTTTGGTCAATGACCACTATGTGTATCACTACTAGGGCAGATTAATAGCTTTCTTGAGCATTCTAATAAATATTTATATATTTATACTGTTATGAATTGAGAGATTTTTATATAATTTTTATGTATATCCATATGCATATTTTTAACCATGTTTTCATAGCAGATAACAGTATGGGTGGCAGAGGTCGTGGTGGTGGTAGAGGCAGGGGCCGTGGAATGACCTTGGAGCAGCTTGGTGTGCAGAAGGGTGAAGTTTTACCAGAGAGAGTTGTTGGCCCCCCTGAGACATATCCTCCTCTGGAATTCCGCCCAGTTCAACCCACTCAAGAGAAAAATTTAGCAGAGTCATATCTGCTGGTAGTTAAAAAGGAGTACCGAGAACACATGCAAAATTCCCAGTATTATATTCAGCCTGGAATCAAGAGACCTGACATAGAGAGGTACTCGGACAGATATCAACTGCTTGCTAGCCATCATGGGCAGCTAACACTCAATTGGTCTAGGTTTCCAAAGGAACTCCATCCCTCCACACCATCTACCTTAAGTAAAAAGAGAAAGGCACGTTCGGTAAAAATTAATGTTAGTGTTAAAAAAGCTAGACATAAAGATATTAATGATATTGAAAGATTTGAAGCTTTAGAAAAAAATGAAGCTACTTTAGATGCTGAGGAGGCAGAGGAAGGAGAAGATGAAGAGAAAACTGAAGGTGAAATATTGGAGGAAATGGAAGAAGCTGATGAAGAGTTAGATGAAGGGACAGATTATGTGAACAACTACTTTGATAATGGTGATGATTATCTTGATGAAGAGGATGATGCACTTGAAGAAGGTGGAGTATTTTGAAATATTCAGTTGACAATGGAATGTTACGAGTATTCAGACATGGCTTGTTACTCAGTGTATTGGCTTTTTATTTTGATGTAGTTACTATTGGCCATATGAGCCTACATCCTCGGTAAGTAACTGTCAAGGTTGTTGTTATTTTGACACGTCAACTGTAGCACTTTATGGAATATTTTATTTCTACGTTAACACCATTACAGTACTGTACTGTATATTAAATGAATAATTTATATAGATAAATTAGTTGATATACAATTTTAATGCTAAACACAAGCTCTTTAATTTTTAGTTTATATTACGTTATTAAATATAAATGAACTTGTATGATTGAAATACAGTACTGTATCTCCATTCAGATAGTAACTGATATGTTGAAATGTGAATGTTTTATGCAGTGTTAAATATCAGTGAATAGTTTTCTGGAGGGAGCCTCCCAGTGGCTCCCTCAACCTATTTTGCTGAGATTGCTCCATACTAAAAAGTCACATCATTCGTGGAAGTTGTGTTTGGCCTATATCGACTACAGCCCGGTTGGTCCGGCACTTCTTGCAGAAAACTGTCAATTTCTTCATGAAGACTTACACTTTTGTTCCTGCCATATTTCTTTTATTTGCTGACACCTCCACTCTTTACTGACTCTATTCTGTATTTCCATCCATATCATTCACTCCAATATGTTGTTTTACTGTGCAAATTTAGCACCTGGCCCTCCAATATTTTCCATGTATATATTATTTGATACCTCTTTCGAATCTTATAGTGTACATTTTCAGAGCTCTGAAATAATGCAATAGTTGGTGCTTATCGTATCTGTGTGCTGTACATGTTCTCTGTATTCCCACTTATTTCAGCAATTCAACTGCTCTGAAGGGGGGGAATTGCGTATCGAGCTTGGAGATTGACATTTTAACCTGGTGTTCTGGTGGCTCAATATTTGGCCAGTGTTCCTAGTCCCAGTCGGTTGTGTGTTGTTTTGAGTCATGTCTACTAGTCTGGTTTTGCTTCATCCTAGTGCCTGCCCCCTATTCTCCTTCCTGTTAAGCTGCATTTTTTGTTCTTTGTGGTTAGCTGTACAAAACTAATAGAGGGCTTTCTCCAGAAACCCAGTGTTGAATGTAATGAAATGCCCGTTTCTGGAGGATCCCTGTGGTGGCTCCCAGACACCCACCCTTCAAAACAGGTCTCGGGCCAGGCTGCCTAGTGATGACAATTAGTACTAACAAGTTCCAAGCTAATTTGAATGAATCCCTTGTTCTGTGAATTGTTTGCGGAGTTGTTTGGTAATTTCAAGGCTTCGTTTGAGGTCAACCCTCTAAGTTGTCTGTAAAGTTTCACAAACTTTCTGGAGGCTTTTTCCGGTGCAGCGGCAGATCGTCACTTGCATCCTATGCTTCCATGGAGGATTCTGGTCTCTTAGGCCAAACAAAACCTCCACGGCTGATTGTGACCTTTCACTATGGAGCTATTGCTGCAAGATAGCTTCAGGGAGCCACCATTACTTCTCCAGTAAGAGGCATTTCGTTATGTTTAATGCTGGGTTTATTCTTTGTCAGCAAAAAATATTTGATAAACATACGCAGAGTCATGCCACTAACGTGATTGCATCAATAAGATAATCCATAGTAGCAGTGATGAAGGTTTGAACCTGTGCAGTGGATGTTCCCACGCACACGCTTCTAATGACTAGACTAGAACCCTCTAGCGACTAGGTTTGAACTCTCATCACTGCTCTTTCAGATTTTCTCATTAACATCCTAACTCTTTAGCAAGTTAACCTGTTGTTCCTCGTGCTTACTATATGACATCCTCACATTTGTCCACTAAATTTCTGGGATTACTGTATTTTTTTATTGTAATTACTATATAATAATTCCCATTATTATTTTTTCACATTCTAATCAGAAAAATGCACACGTTTCCTAACTTTTAATTTTTATTCTCTTCACTGTTGTATTCTAAACAGGATGCCATGTAGAATTTTCCTAAATTTCTGCCATCATAAACCTTTACCTCTCAAGTGTCACAGTTTAAAAGCCAAGCATCATTGTTGTTGGAAGATATTTTGTGCAGGTTGTTGTAAATGAGTACGCGTTGCTGTGAAATTATAAGTTGTGATAGGGCTCTTCAGAACAAATAAGGGTACTGATATAAATATGGTATAGAAACTAAAATATGTTGGAAAAAATTGTAAAATGTATGTATATTTTAGGTATTATAATTTCCAGATTGTTGTAAATAATAAAGTACACATACTGTACTAGAAAAATACACAAGGGAATCACATTATCTAAATGTATTTCTATTTTGAAACTGTCCCTGAAAGGGGCATTACAATATCAATTTAGTGATGTTTAGAATTTACCTGATGGAGTGAGATTATCTCTATGGGCCTACCTCATAATTGTTCTTGTATGGTACTTCATGTACTAGCTCTCAAACCATTCAGATTTGGATATAAATGAATACCTATAATCTGTCCTGTGTGCATTTGATACTTACCTACTTTCCTATGTGCAAATATTGTTATATACAGTGCTGTGCTACAGTATTTTGATATTTTTCATCCACTTAAAATATAGACATGACTTTCAGGTGTCTATAGAAATAATAGTTCCTAGCTGATCACAAGGTGGTCTGACCCATTCTCTAACATTATTAATTTATACTTTTGACTTGCATAAAAAAAAGGAAACAATTTCTCATTTATTTAATTTAACATACAATCGTTTTACTCGAGCAATAAAACACATTCCACGTAATTTACAAGTTTTCTACCCAGTAAAAACTGGTTGCTGCTACACATTCTAGCAGATAGTCGGTACCTGGGAGTTGGGCAACTGTTGTGTGTTGCATCCTGGGGAAGGTCAATAGTTGGTCTAGGGGGATCTTTAACTGTAACAGGCTTCTTCCCCCCCCCCCCCCCCAAGAATGAGTAACCAACACCATGAATAATCCTGAAACTACAGTATGGCTTAAGACTTGCACCAAATCATTTAGATGAACACATGGATGTTGTGGAATTACTTGGAAGCAATATTACATAAACTTGTCATAATTCACCACTAGGTTAAGAGTATGGAATAGTCTTGCATTGACAATGACTGCCCAAAAAAACCCAGGCCCTTAAGTCTTATCAGCTTGGAAGACCAGCTACCCCTTTTCTGAGGGGGAGGTCCTTCCCTGCTGGATCTGCAGCTGTCCTAAACTTCCCCTTCTGATCATCTCCCTCCCATTACAATCTCCTTGGCAGTGACATCACCTGTGGTGACTAGTTCATTGCCCAGTGTGACCCATAACCTGTTTGTAACAAAGGTTCCTTATGTGCCTTATGTACCATATTTGGTTTAAAGGAATTAGGAAGTCAGTTTTTTAAGCACTCTGAAAATCGAAGCATTTGACTAGTAAGTATCAAAAGAAGGCACCAAGCCAGGAAGGCTATGTAGCACAAACATTACTCAAAAATGCACAGCTGTAACACGACTTAATGCAATTTTTTTTTCATTTCAGTGTCCATGTGGATATTTGAGGTAATAGTACCCATAGCCTTTATATAAGGAGAATTTTTTTTCTATGGAATGTATTTTATATTGGGTTGTAGATACCTGTAGACAAATATTTATGTATAGCACTATTGATTACAGAGTAAAAATATAGAATGATCCTCTGGCTTTTGATATGTTAAGCCATTTTTATTAGTCTTGGGCACAATCAGAGAACACTGTATGAACATCTGAGGTCAACCGTTGTTGAACATACTCTCAGCCAGTATAAGAAATATTGCCGGTACAACTGTGGACATCTTCAAGATAAAAACCCATTTTTTTTTTTTTTTTTTTTCAAAAAAGTGCCCGACCAACCGGGCTGTGGTGGATGTTATTAAATTATGTATTAAATTTCCTATGCTCAGTACTATAGAATCAGAGAAACCCAAATTTTCTATAGCCATTAATATATAGTACACCCATTATTGGTAATATTCATATGATATGCCTATTACTGTGGATACTGTTCAGTACATTCATGTTACTCTACATGATACACCCACTACTGAGGATACTGTTCAGTACCTGCTTGATGGGGTTCTGGGAGGTTTTCTACTTCCCCCAAGCTCGAGCCTAGTACATTTGTACATATTGAATGACACCCACTATTGAGGATACTGTTCAGTACATTTGTACATATTGTATGACACACCCATTACTGATGATTCTGTTCAGTACACTCATATTACAGTACAGTATGTCTAAATTCAACAGATCATAAGTAATTTGTATAACACAGTGCATTAATACTAATGGTAAGAAATTACTTACATAAGGAAGCAACATACAAAATAGAACAGGCAGTATTAAAGAATAGATGTTGAAATATTCACCATTACATGTCCTAACAAATTATGAGTAGTAATAAAGTACAGAACTACATTTTCAAATGTACAGTACTATCATTTTATTAGGTTTTCATCAGACAGAATGACCAATAATGAAGTATAATCAGATATAACAACTAATTTGCTACACAATATATAAGGGAATTCCATGATACGATTTAGAAAATTTAGCATGTTCAAGATAAGAACATTTGTCAATTTTAAAACTGACAATACACTCTATGGGTTCTCTCAATAACATATCTTACTATAAAAGCCACACATGTCAAAGATATAACAAAACTTATTGAACAAATACTTTATAGATTTAACAAAAAATTCTAGAATGGGTAAGTATCACGGGAGAAATGTGTGGACAACCACCACACTGAACACCAGAATGAAAGTACAATCCTAAAAATATTTGTATTCCAGAAATATACCAAAGAAAATGCTGATCAGGTCTGTTTTGGAAAGCACATCAAGCATGTATATCTAAAGTTATCTAAGAAATCAATAAAACTGCATTAATACCAATATTTTGACTGATACCGATATTGTGTAATGACGTTAATTAATATCAATAATACAACACCTCTTGGATCAATTACTGTAATTTCTTTTCACATCGAGATATGGGAATATTCAGAAAACATTTTTCAAGTACTTACATTATACAAAAATATTTTGTACACCATGTACAACACTGACTCAAATAAATTTCCCCTTTACCAATCACATTTCATGTATGGGAAAAATCTATTCGAGAAATAATTTATTATACATATCGTTTCATTGCAAAAATTGTATTATGCATTTAGATTTTGTAGAAATCCTTTATTATACATTTCATTACATTGTAGGAATTTTTTTATACATTTCAACACAAAATAAACATTTAAACATGAGTGACAAAAGACATCTTGATGGCATAATGACTGCAACAGAAAACTCTGTTAGCTTTAAGTTGTAAATAATAAAACATTGATAAATATAAGCATTTTGCCCTATTGTCCATCAGTGTTGGTATTGCAAATCTTGTACACAATAATTAAAAGTAGTAAATACCGATGTATAGAATAAAATCTTATGCTAGTACAGATAATGTATTCACATACCCCTTTGTATCCACAGGCAGTGGATGGCATGATACAGTGATTACAATGGTTTGATATATAAATGAAAATCACTGAGGCAAAGGAATGACTAACTCACATTCTGGTGATTCCCAGATGCCTGCCTTAACCAACTTGAGCACAATGGTACAAAAGTCCACCAACCCAGAACTCTACCGAGTTCTCTAGGAGGTTCTCCGGTCCCCTGAACCCAAGCAGGGCTCCTTGAATGACTTCATGCTCAAAAAAGACAGGGCGTTGTTTCAGTTATCCCTGATGCATTAAAGCCTTCAGCATTAAAATTTGTGAATGCATTGCATCATCTTTATGGAAGAGAAAACGTGTTCTCTTGAAAAATATATTGTAGACTGTCCCATGCTAACTGGCTTCAGACCCGCTGAGGGGAGATATGATGCTCTGTAAATGCTATCTGAATATTGTCCTGGAACACCCAAGATTTACCATATAATGCAACAAGTATATATGTGATGTAATTATAAACCAAGCTTGTAAAATGACTTTAATCACCTTTGTGGATGAGTGCTCAATAACCCACTACTGTACACTACATGTAGTGTAAAACATCTCTAACCCTGTCCATGGAGGACAGAATAAAATGTACAGTATATATGCTGGTTAGCACAGGAAAGGATGGGTCACATATATAGTAGAAAAAACTATTTTTGTACAGTATTTAACTTTACAATACTGTACAGTTACACAAGGAAATCACATTAATATATCAATGAGAAAATCAAGTATTATAAAGTTGAGAATTGAAAGGTAAAGTGGTGTACTAGCAGTCTAAGGATAGATAACTGCAGACCTTGGTTTAAATCCCACTAATATTCAAGATTTCAGTCCTCTGTGCTGTTCCTGTATATATTTACTTATTTAGCAATTTAAATATTAGTGTGTAACTTTACCCAATATTGTAACCAAAGAACTGTCAGCATTACAAAAATAGTTACTCAAATTATTCCTTATATTAACTACATAAAAAAATTACAATTAGCATATTTCACCTTACCTAAATTTAAAATACCACACAAAAATAACTGCTTAAATATGACTTGCCTTAGTGCAAGTTGTAACACAAGTAACCCTTACTTGCCTCTAGTAATAGACAATCATTTAATTTATTTTAATAAACATATACTGTATTTTTACATCTCGGAAGTACACTATTATCAATATATTAATAGTTATACCTTAAAATGTGTTGGTGTTGATTTAGGGTCAAAGATGACTCAAATGCTCCGTAAATTTAAAATATTTTCCAGCTTCCATCATCAATTTTATCATCAATGTCTACATTGTTAGGTGTATTAACTACTTGCTATTGTATTGGAGTTGCCACTAACCTTAGAACTTCCCGTTTCATATTTACACATTACTGAAAACATGTCTCCACCAAGTCTGTAAAAAGAGAAAATACATGAATACAGTACTGTATTGAGGGCATTGTAAAAATCAGTAAGATATCCATAAAACTTTACTGCACTTCAAAATATATGCCCAGCTACACATTAGAGCATATAATACTGTATGAGCTCGGTTATTAGAAGCCCGCTGAACCAAATATTTGGGTTATCCATACATAATTGCACCTGGAAATTTTCTGGCAATACTTTGCCATACCTGGGCAGAAATCCAGGTAACTAGAGATTTGGCTGGATACTGCAGACTGGCACAATGTCTAAGTGCGAAAAATTCCTAGCTAAACTTTGCCATAACCGTACAGAAATCCAGATAACCGAATAGGGTTACAGTGAGAGGTGTAGGCACTCCTCTGTGTATACACTACAAATTATATGGAAAGGGACTATAGAACTCTGACAAATAAACAGATCTAATGGGTAATTTTGGATAGTTGAATATCACCAGAGGACCACATGAATGTCATTGATTGAAGAGCATTTGCTACACTTTCCAACTTCATAGTCACTTTTAAATACACAGATGGTGAAATATTAAAGAAACTGTTCACAACCTTTGAGACAAACTGGAATGTGCAGAGGTTGTATAATAATATACAGTAATATATAATGTAATGTAATATATGTAATAAATATAATATACAGTATAATAATAATATACATTATACTATAATAATATATATTATTATAATAAAAATTGGCTCTGGTACCCATATTTTAAGGAATTTGATTGGAAAGACTTGTTAGGACATGAAGTAAATAAGATGCATGTCAAGTTGTGAAATATATGATAAAGGCACAACAAAATTTATACCAAAACAGATGTAAAACCAGGAAACAGGATTGGTTCAACAGAAATTGTGAGAGGGCCAGAGACCAAGACACAAAAATTGAGCCAATATATGAAGAGGCCAAACCACCAAACATACCAGCGATATAAAGCAGCGAGAAACAACTACACGGCAGTGTAGTTGACCAAAAGACTAAAAAATGCAATCAATATAAGTAGAGGCCAAAGCCTCAAACATACCAGCAATACAAGGAAGAAATGACAACATGGCAGTGGGAAGAGAGGCAGAAAGAAATTTTGAAAAAGAAAGTGGACAAATGTAAAACAGAACCAGGCCTATTCTATAAATTCATAAACAACAAATTGCTGGTAAAGGATAATATTCAGAGGTTGAAAATGGTAAACAGATTCACAGAAAATGACAAGGAAATGTGTAAAACATTAAATGAAAAGTTCCAAAGTGTTTGTACAAAATGAAATCTTCAGGGAACCAGGGAACTTCAATTTTCTTTTAATAAATTTATAGAATAGGCCTCATTCTGTTTTACATTTGTCTACTATCCTTTTCTCAAAATTTCTTTCCACCTCTCTTCCCACTGCCATGTTGTCATTTCTTCCTTGTATTGCTGGTATGTTTGAGGCTTTGGCCTCTACTTATATTGATTGCATTTTTTAGTCTTTTGGTCAACGGCCCTCTCATAATTTCTGATGAACCAATCCTGTTTTCTAGTTCTGCATCTCTGTTTTGGCATATTTTTTTGTGCCTTTATCATATTTCACAAAACTTGGCATACAATTCATTTACTTCCTTGCCTAACAATGTCTTTCCAATTAAATTCACTAAACAACTTTGTAAGTTCTCCATGTTGTCCTCTAGTGAAATAAAGTGTTCCAACTGCTTCATTTTCCTCTATCTCTTCTAGATTATAATGCATTGCATACTTTATTTTGAAAAACAACATGGGTGGAGGGGTTAGGTGTGTGTGGCTGGTGAGTAACGGGGGGCAGACTAACTGAGACCTGGGGTGATCTGGGTTGCCACCTGATGACAGTCAGGCACATCACAGTTATGGTATTTACATTACAGTAACAATCATATGCCTTCTTACCCAAATTTTCAGGCAGTGACTCGATTCTCTCTCTAGGCCAATCTCCGATCTCCGAGCTCTGTCACCATCTTTCAGAGAACCAGATTATAATCATGGCTCCCAGTAGACTCGAGTGGGTCTTAGAGGCCTGGTACCATTCTCTAAAGCTTGGCACCCTTAGTGTTATAGCTACGAGGAACTACCGAGTGATCCCAGGAGGCCTGGTCGACGACCGGGCTGCGGGGACGCTATGCCCCGGAAGCACCTCAAGGTAACCTCAAGGTAAGGATCCCTCCCAGAAACAGTCTTCGACTGTACTATATAATGTATAGTTAAGTTACTCATGTTAATTTTTCATATAATTAATAATGTGTGATACATACCTGTGGGCCAGCCACCTGTTTTTGATGACTGCAAGCTTGAGAGAATCACAGGTGAGTGGAGTGAGCAGGTTTGTGTGAATGGCACGCCCCATTCCCTCCATAACCACAAGGTCACAGCCCCATTGCACTATTTCATCAACTAGTGAAAGTGGAAGGCGACTGAAAAATATCACGAACATTAATTAATGTACAGTATATTTAATCACTACCATTACCCCACTTCTAACTTGTATGGGGTGAGAAGATATCAGCTCAAAAAAAGGAGTAATAATATAAAGTACCAAGGGGGTATGGAAACGCTATTAAAAACAATCACCCATTCATTATATCATTCATGCTAGTATATACCATCACAAATAACACCAATACACTATAGCAATTCTCCAATTCAATTTCACAACAGTGATCTGCCATGTCAGTGTATTGTTCACATCCAATTCCTCAGTGTAAAAGTTATACAAAAGTTTCTCTCCATTCTCAATCAGCATTACCTTCTAGTTAAAACTTGTATGAATGGAAGCCGCATAATTTTCCAGATATTAAGGAAGATGAGGCTTGACTTGCAATTTTCACTTATCTGAAATGAAGGCAAGGCATTTACATTACTTACCTGAGATCAAGGCAAGGTGAAGCTTGACCTGACTCGCGTATACAGAGGGTGTTAGTGTCTAGGTGTTCACTGATGATAGGGCACACAGCAGCTACTTGTTTCATAAGCATACTAAGCTCCTCAGCAGTCACATCATTCAGTGCGGGCTTGCTGTTAGCACACAACACAACCTGCAAAGAATATTTAAAATATTAATACAAATAAATGAAAAGAACATTCATATGAAGAACTCAACCCCGCATAAAGTTGTGTTTATGGGGAAGAATTATGGCAAAGCAAAACTCCCCTTTCTTCAAAATTTAAGCATATTTTGTCATGCAATTTCCCCATTTCTTATTGTCATGCCCGGACGAAAGTGTTAAATAATATGGAAGAGAAAATTTTAAAAGTTAAATTAAGATTATGGACTTACTCTGGTTCCTCGGACAAGCAGCTCTCTAGCTAATGGTATAATTCCAAGGACAACATCACAGCCAGAATTGTCAAGAAATATAACTGCACATTTATAGGGAGACTGCTGCTGTCTTGTAATCCAAGCATCTAGATCATCATGCAGCCATGGACGAGCTGGAATACAGTATGTCCAAAATTTCAGCGATTAACAAGTACCAATACATTAATTTGCCCAGACCTTCCATTATAGGGGTTGATGTTACAACAGTTCCACAACAAGATCTAAAAATTAAAACATAAAAGCCTTTGAGAAAACTGAATGAGTGAAATTATCATTTATTACAATAAATTTTTATATTCATGGGGTTAATGAAGCTCTAACTCATGATATTGACTTAAAAATGGTATTACATAAAATAATTTATATACACCAGCATTTCCAACAACAGTCTACTTAAAATGCTCAAGAAACTACAATATATATGACATCAAGATCATAGGTGAGGCTTAATTTTAAGTCTTGTAGTCACTTGCCCAAAATGCTGAGTGTACTATTTACTTTAGGCATAGTATATATACCATACTTACTTTATCTAGAAATCCAACATTCTGTAACTCATTATGTATATACTTTCCCTAAATAAAATTATCTTATTTATTCTCCATTTCAAACCAATTTCCAAATTAAATTAAATTAAATTCCACAATTAATTATTCCCACTCTGGTTAACCCTTTGAAGATGCAAATCAAATATATATAATTTGGTCTAACTCCCTGGAGGGCGCACATCATATATATGTTCATACAGTATATGATTTAGAGATTTTAAATACTGATAATAGTCCTGCACATACACAGGGCTCACATTTGCTTCCTCAGGCCTCCAGAAACCATCACCCCCCCCCCCCCCAACTTGAAGAAAAAATGTAAAGTCCCTCACTTTCCTCCTAGAGCCTTAATAAAAAAAATATATGAGGACCATTTTTGGGAACATCACCATCCAGTGTCTGAACATTTAGTGCAGCCATAGAGGAAACATTAAACTTTTAACAACAGCAAATAAGCGATTACCATGTATATATTTCAAGCAAAATGTGTGCTATGTGCAATTTTAAGATTTAAGCCGTTTGAAAAAAATAAAAATATATATATTTATGGTGAGGTGGTAGGTGACATGGATGAATGACATACATGGGGTAGTAAATTAAGAGTGACATTTTAAATTTTTTAATTTTTCCCCAAGAGGCGAGTTTATTGGGCAGCGCCACTCTTGTGAGTGGACATACCACCATAGCAGCATGTACAACACTCCCCAAAAGGAAGAAAACCCGCTGGGTTGTTCATCCTGTGACATGTTGGCAGTTTGTTCTTCTGGTTGCTTCCGTTCCTGAACAACTGGAACTTGCGTTCTACCTCACCATTAGAGAATATTATCAGGTGCTAACACAGAACAATGTGTCTGTGTGAGGCGAGACCTTATGAAATGCATCACTAGGCGTCAGACCCCAATAATAAGTAAAAATGAACTTTTGGAGAGTTAATTTTTAGTCTTTCTTGTAAATTCTTTTAGCCTTTTCTTCTTGTTAATTCTTTAGTCTTTCTTGTTCTTGTCTTCATATTCAACAAGATATGTTGTCGAATATGACCAAAATGGTAAGACTATTGATTCTAACATGGAACTTCAATATTTTTTTTTTTTTTTTTCACTGTTGAGGGAAGTTGAAAAATTAACTCTCCAGAGTTCATTTTCATAATTTATTATGGTCTGATGCCTAGGGATGCATTTCACAAGGCACTCCTTACATTTTCAAAGACAAATTTTTCAGGCTTTGCCAAGGCTTATAGTCGCTTGGAGTGAGGTGGTACAGGACGTGATCGAGATGAACAGGTGGATTAATGGCAAAACGGATATTAATAGGCTATTAAATGCCTATGTTCTTACTTCTACTGTCTCTGTGTTGGTTTGGGGTCTTTAAGTGGGCAGAATGTAATTACTGTACGTGTTAACTGTTGTCGATTGCTGGTCTTGACATTTTTGTGTGTATGGCCTCAATGTCCAGCCTTCTGTTATCGTTACACCTGTCAATTATTTCAGTGTTGCTTGTTAAGGGGCTGTTTTACTTTATTTTAAATGTTTAATGTCAAACTTTTTTTTTTTTACAAGTTATACTGTATATAAAAAAGGGCTGCAACTGATCTACATTTCAGTATTGCACCCTAAATAGAAAGGGAGGGAATTTTTGTTTTTCAACAATTTTTTTTCAAACAATATTCAAAGCCAAAGGTGTATGCGAGTGCATTGTTTGCAAGAACTCGGAACGAAAACCCCAGGAAGCGAAAATCTGTGTGTACCATATGTGTTGAGTGCAAAGTGCCACACTGTCTCATGGACTGCTGCTTTGAATATCACGCACTTGCCAAGTACTGAGGCACCAAAACTCAAAGAGGAAGCTGGTGACGCAGCAACCAATGGAAGGACATCGAGTTGCGAGCCCAACAGTCGCGAGTACGGTGGCTCCGAAGACAACAAAATAGCCTCCGATGTCAAATCCTGCCCAATGGATAAAGCAAGAGGGCAAAATTCAGGCTCTTACACAGCTGCTCAAGCAACCGCCGAGTGACTCGAGAGGCGAACTTTCAATGCCGCCGGGAAATCTCGAACGCCCAGGAAAGTCATCCCTGGCATGCAAGGGCTGTACTTACAGAGCATCCTGGGAAAGTTACCCAAGGTACATGCAGCTACAAGTACAAAGAACACCTGGCCACCACACCACCACACAGCTAGTACTACCACACAGGGCAAAATTCAGAACAGGAAAGCGAGTCCAGAGATGACCGAATGACCACCAGCACATCAGGACGAGAACTGAGGTGGTAAGTAGCCGACTTGTCTGAGCGGGCTTCCCCTCCCTCCTGTGGAGGGGGGGGGGGATACAATAATGAGCGGGAGTACTAAAGGCAAGGTTGCCAGTTTTGGTTATTTTGTTTATTTTCCTTTCTTTTGTAGGAGTTTCTTTGCATTTTCAGACTGGTGGTCACAATTTTACTGGCTAGTTGTTTGTATTGTCTTGCCTATCTTTCTGGGGTGCCCACCCCCTGTCCATGGCAGAATAAGACTTACTTTAAATGTAGAGTGGTTGTATGCCATTGCTATCTGTGCCTCTGAGGGAACCAGGTTCTGGTGCTGGTTTTCCAGTAGCCTTAAGAACTCCAAGTTACTGAAGACCCCAAACTATTATAGCACATATCAGCTCGGTTAGCTTCAGGGAGCCGATGGGGTTCCCCTAGAAATAGGCAGATACGTACCAGTGATACCGATACCATTATTATGCACTGTCTTCTTTGTTAACAAATATACAAATATAATGCAAAGCCTTAATACCTTGGAGCTTATCTGCTGCCTCCTTAAATCCCAGCCCTTGCTCCATTAGCTTCACTACTTCCTTGGCGCCCCAGTCGAATACATTGCCTGCAAGAACGCCCCGGACTAAAGTCTCTTGACGTTTACTATATTCTTGTTTGTCTAAGAAGCTTAGGTGGTCCTTAAGGAGTTTTAAAGCATTTTCATTTTCCAACTGAAAAAAAATATGTATGTTGTACAGTATTTAACTTAATCTTAATTAAGAAACTATTTTTAATCATTATTATTCCAATCTTTTATTTCAAATAAATGGGATAGGGAGGTACCCATATTCATGAGATAGGGAGGTACCCATATTCTAAGTGAAATAATGAACACTGCAAACTTGAATTACAGAAACAAACATTAAATTTTACCACCTATAATGATGTGCTCATTTCACAATTTGAAGCAACAGAGAATTCTTAGGTCCTAGTCTACGAGTGTAATGTGATACTAAACTTTAAAGACATCAACATTACCCAGTTTCCAACTTCTGTACAGTGGGGAATAGTCAGCCATAAAAAAACAGATGAAGCAGAGGAAAATGCTAAAGATATTACTTAATTAACACCTATTATACATTATATTATAAATATACAGCTATTCATTTAACATATATCACCCCACCACATAGTAACATGGAAAAATCAGCAGTGCTAATCTGCTAAAAACCCTCGGCAGCAACACCCACCATGTCATAAGACTAGGTATAAGGTGCTCCTCACCGGTGTGTCATACACAGCACGGCCACCAAACATCAATTATTCTAGTCCTATTCACACTACTTGATTGTTTTTGTTTTGATACAACGAGAAGCCATGCTTTCCCAGCTTGAGGCAACATGTAATTGACCTTTATTTCTAAATCAATTTTGAAGCCCTCACATTAGCCCTAAGAATGCATCTAAGAAAGGGTGTTGGTGGGGCACCAGTGCGTGTGCACTTACTGCTGTCGTATGTTTACTCCAACTCGCAAAGAGACTAGGTACAGTATATCTCTTACAATATCTTTCACATGCTTTACTACCTGCATCAATGCAAATGCCCGAGTTGCACACCCTATTCCACCACTGACCAATTTCTGTTATTTTCTACACATTTAATTACTATCTTGTCATGCATTTCCCCCTTACACTTAGTAAACTAGACAAAATGACTATAATTCTTACATTTACTATGCTCCTACATATTTTTATCAAGTGGTACAATTGCTGCTCTCTTCCAATCATCTGACACTGTCACCTTCTAATCTAACATAACATCACCTTTTCATAGTCTGATGCAGTGCCTGTGTCCAATCATCTGGGTATCAGCCTTTGATCACCTGACAGTATCATCTTCTAATAGTCTGGCAGTGTCTTTCCAATCACCTGATTGTCACTTTCTAATCACCTGACAGAGTGCCAAGACTAATATATATACACATACATACATACATACAGTGGAACCTCGAGTGACGCGCTCCTCAATTCACGAGCATTTTGAATAACGAGTGCGCCCATCGCTGACAATTTGACTCGACTGGCGAGTGCTCGTTTGATTAACGAGAAAACCACATGGCGCGTTCCCGCTGCTTCTCGTACATTCTCGGACACCCCCGACGATGCAAATTTTTTTTTTTTAAGATGCTAATGATGCTGGGATGTAAAGGGGTGACTGCTGTGATGTTGCAAAGCATTGAATTTTTTATATAGAATAAACAAAAAAATTGAAAAAATTGAAAAAAGAACAAATGTCAAAAAGGTTCGTTCAGTGTATGCCAGGTAGGCTGCTCCATTGTTTAAAAAATCGAATATCATATTGATGTTTTTCGGTGGTGGAACAGATTATTTTGATTTCCAATGTTTTAAATGGGGAAAGTTGTTTTGAAAAAAGAACATTTCACATGACGAGCTCGGTGCCGGAACGGATTAAATTCGTTAATGGAGGTTCCACTGTATATATAAAAGTTCTGAGGTCAATTACTGATGCCCTTTCCCATGATGCAACCCTCAACGGTTGCCTATCTCCCAAGTGCCTATTTATGGCTAAGTGAACAGCAGCTTCAGGTGAAAGGAAACATGCCCCCCCCAATCTCTGTCCTGCCCAGGAATTGAACCAAGGATCCCTTGGTTGTGAGTCATGAATGTAGACCGCTATGCAATTGTACCTTCTAAAATTAACAAATAAATAAATAAATAATAAATATTGATGAATGATGCCACATGTTGCAGTACCTTCTTCTGCTGCAGGTATGGATCAGGAAAGTCAAATTCATTGAGACAATGTTCCCGCATGTCAAGTAAGCTCCGTACAGTCAGATTACCATATGCACTGCAAGAAAAGAACTTTTCATATACAGTATAGTCATCTTGCTCTCAGATACCAATACATAAAAAGATTATTTGGATAATTTATTTGTAATGTAAATAAATTTACTCATCATATACTGTAACTGCATTTTTAATTTTTACACAGGACATAATTTGCATGTCATGGACAGGAAGCCTGATAGGTTCATCACTTACCCCATAGACCAACTACTGACTTTAAACACCGGGCAACCCACAACACATGCTTAATTCCCAGGTACCCATTTACTACTACATGAATGGAGGCATCATGTGAAAGGAAATGTGCCCATATGTCTTTGTCCTGCCAAGGGAATCAAACCTGGGACCTTTCAGTTGTGAAAGAACCGTGCTAACCACTGCACTTAGTTTTATAGATAATGCCTATATGAGCAATATTATATATATATATAATCATAGCCAAACATTTTATAAGCTATAACTCTTATTGTCAAAGAGACAAGCAAAATTTTTATATATTTGCCAAATGTAAGTTATCTCTCACACAAGTTTAGTAAATAAATACAAATGCCAAAGGAAATACAGCTTAACAATGTGGCAAATGGGTTTAATAATAATCTCTAGGCTGTTTAGACCACTTACAATGGATGGTTCTTGAGATTGTTGAGTCGCTGAAGGTACTTATCACGGAACTTATTTGCTCTCTCTGTGCTGTCAGGGCTGTTTGGCTGTGAACTGATTGCATGATTCACGAAACTCCCCAATGAGCTCTCGAAGCAAGAGAGCCAGTAATCTCTAAAAGGATGAGAATAAGATTACCTACTAGTTATACATATATTTAGGATAATTTGTTTGTGATGTGTGTCTATGTATGTATTAACACGATGGACTGTACTGAACGGGGTGATAATAGCTTGAGCTACCTCATCCCTTTGTGTGTATTTTACCTCAATAAACTTATTTCAATTTCAATTTAGGAAAATAAAAATGAATGTAACCGACCTTGCTCTTCATGGAAGAACATGGCCATGAGACACCCGTGAATACTCATAAAATTTAATTGTTGAATGTAATGAAATGCTTTCTGATGGGGTCTTTTCTTGGTGACTTCACATTCCCAACTGTATCTGGAGTGTACTTTTATGGTTTCTGGGAATTCTACTATTCACAAATCCTGGCCCTGGGCCAGGTTTGACATGTGTGAGCTCGATTCAACAGGCTGTTGCCTGGAGAGGCCGACACATTCATTACAACTCGGTTGGTCCAGCACTTCTTGCAGAAAAGTATTCAGTTTTTACTTGAATACTTCCACTTTTGTTCTGGCAATCTTTCTTATATTTGCTGGGAGGATGTTGAACAACCATGGCCTCTGATGTTCATGCAGTGTGCTCTGATTGCATCTCTGGCACCTCTACTCTTCACTGGCTTTAATCTGCATTTCCTTCCATATCATTCACTATTATTTTACTATTTTACTGTGTAAATTTGGACCTGGCCCTCAAGTATTTTTAATGTACTGTATATATTATTTGAAACCCCAATCATCTCCTTTCTAGAGAGTATATTTTGAGAGCTTTGAGACGATCCCAATAATTTAGGTGCTTTATCGTGTCTATGCATGCCATGCGTGTTCTCTGCATTCCCTCTATTTCAGCAATATTTCTGCTCTGAAGGGGAAAGCGAGTATCGCACAACACTCAAAGCGAGGCAGCACCAGCGATTTGAATAGTACAACCATTGTGATGGGATCCCTGGGATTTGAAGATTCTCATAATCCATCCTATCTTTCTAGCTGACACTATATTTGCTTGTTACTCTCCCTAAATGTTAAATTGTCAGACATCATTATTCCCAGATCCTTTACATGCCCCGGCAGTACAGTTGGGATTGTTCTTGACTCGCAATTGAAAATTCTGGGTTCGAATCTGGAGCTGAACCCTGAAAACTCTCCAGTCATCTCCTTCCAACCATTACCCAACATCATCCCACTTCCAATAATCATTTGTCCAACACTGTTCAGTGGTGACAACTTCTGTAATTCTGGCATGAAGGTAGAAGCAGCTCTCCAATACTGTTTACTGTATGCTTTCTCTTAAGACAGATGTGAAAACAAAAATGTCTAGCAGGTGTCTGAAATACAGCTATTTTCTTCCCATATAACTTTATACATGTACGGCTGCATTTACAGTTCTGAGAGACAAACACTAGATTATACCTAGCTTCTTTATCCTTGGTGAGATCCACAGCATCCGGCACATATTCCTCCGGATGAGCCAATAAAGGGAAGAACGTTAGCTGTTGGTCACAACGGTCAATCTCCAGCTGGTCAATGGTGCCACCTGGCCACCCACCCACAGGAGGATGAGGCAATGGAGACTGCAGGCCGGATGATCCTGCATAATTTTCTCCCCACGAATATTTCTCTGTATCTGTAAAATAAACGAAACAAAAATTTACTTTTCACTCTCAAGTGATAAATATATTTATCTCTCTATTTTACTATTGAAAGGTAATAAAAATGTAATTGTATTTCTAAAGGAAACAAAATATTCTTTTGCTTTTACATAACTCCCAAAACTAGTTTTGTATTCCCACACGTTATGAAATATCTACATCACTTTACTTATACTAAGTTAGTGTGCTAGAATAAAATAGACAAGTTTAAACATTAAATCCTGAGCCAGCTTTATTTGGAATTAAGTTTCACTGTGGTTATTGGTGATCTGTAACAGTTATCAGTGCAATCAGGTGACCTGTAGCACAGGGGTCAGAGCAATTAAGTTTTAATTTTACTTGTATAAAACCAGCATTAAATGTAATGAATCACCATTTTCTGGGCGAGACCCGAAGGCTTCCTAGAGCTATTCCGGGTCTTCCTAGAGCAAACAAACAAAAATGACCACCAGGACCGAAAGAGCAGAAACCCCTGCGCTGGAGGAGAGCATGAAACTTCCCGACCCGACCCCCAGAGGCCAATGCCAGCAAGAAGAGAGCCTTAGGAAAGCAGTCTTGAACCAAAGGGGCAACCACAAACCGAGGAGAAGAGAAAAGAGAGCACTCTGTCCAACGACAAGGATGGCTCAGGCAGCACATGAGCAAAACAAAGGTGCAACAATGCCCAAGAAAGCTTGCGGAACGAAGCAGAAGTGATCAGCCACGAACACAAGCTGAAGCAGCTCAGCCAGTGCCGCATGATACAAGGCGACAGTATTCGGCATAAGATGACTGTCCTGAAACAACCAAGAGAGAAAGGACAAAACAACCCAGTCAGATATTGAAGAGAACCTACAAAGGGACAAAAAATGCTAAAATGACTGCAAGGAAACTTCATACTGCCGCCAAGACAAAACTCACAGGTGGGACACCATCAATGAAGCCAAATGATTACCATACAAGTGGTGATAAACCTGCATAAAAAGGACTAGACACGAAGATTGGAGGAGAAGATCGAACCAGCCACATACAGGATCTGCTGAAACTGGACCAAACTGATCTGCTGAAAGAGGTAGAGCTGCAGGAAGACCCTCGGGTTCAGACACCGAGCAAGCAGTGCCTGAAACCAAGGCTAGGCCGGCCACCATGGAGCCAAAATGACTACTCTCCCCTGGTAAGTCTCCAAGCGAGCCAAGACTTGGAGCAACAACTGAACTGAGAGGGAAGAGGTACAGGTAACCCCACTTTGACCAGTTCAGCTGAAAGGCATTGACCCCAACGGCCTCACAGTTGGGGAAGGGCACCAAATACAATGGAAGGTGCCTAGACCAGGCCGGCATGAGGAGGTCCACCTCCGGGCGCCGGAATGCCCGGCAGAGCCAAAGGAACAAGGCATCATCAACCGTCAATTCCATGGACAGGGGTAATGAAACGGGACAGGCTGTTCACCAGGATGTTGGATACCCCTGGATATGAACCGCCAGGAGAGCCAAACCTTGAGAAGTCAGCAGACAAGTCACCCAAGGCAACCAGCCCTAAAGAACCAAGGATCGCATCAAACCACCTCAGTTTAGGCAATGAACCACCAAGTAGCACTCCGAATGAAGCCAAATCATCGATCCGCGAGCAACACGAACCCTCTGAAGCGAAAGACGCTCTGCTGCGAACTCCCGCACTGTGCTCTGAGCCCTACAGAAGGACAGACCCAGGCGTCCATGGCCGGCCTGGTGAGCACTGGTCACAAAGCCACAGCCAAGAGACGACGCATCCGTTAACACATCGAGTGAGGGTTCAGGTAGGCGCCAGGGCACTGAACCTTGTAACTCCGAAGACGAAGTCTGTGACGCAGCAGCCGACGCAAGGCCCCCGGGGTCCAAACCCGGCAATCCCAAGAGCAGCGGAAAGGACGTGCCTGAAGGAACCAGAACAGTCGCCAAAGCCAGATCCAACCTGATGGGTAGACCAGCATGGGGAAGTTCAGACTCCCACACAGCTGCTCGAGCAACCAACGAGCGACCCGGGTGCCCTCCAAAATCAGGCGGGACTGCAGCCGCAGCAACACCACTGGAGGGAGACAAGGAAGCAGTCCACGAGTCCCGCACAAAACCCAGCCAAACCTGAACCTGAGAGAACCAAATAGGACTCCCTCCAGTTCACCTAGAACCAAAACCTGACGAGCTGGGAAAGAACCATATTCCTGGCGAGCAGACACGTGGACTGGCTGGAAGCCCAGACCAGCCAGTTGTCAAGGTTAGCCAGAACCCGAACCCCTAAAAAATGCAAACAGGTCACCACGACCCGGGTAAGGCGTGTAAAGAGGTGCCAGAGCCAAGCCGAATGGAAATCAACGAAAACGGTAAGCATGTAGTGAATCTGTGACGTCACAGGGTAGAAGGTACTAGAGTGGTGGTGCTCGACACGGTCAGTGGGCAAATTAGACCCTTTCCCACCTACCCTCCCACCACCCCGGGGCGGCGTGAGGCCTGGCAGACCATTGCTTCCCAAACTTAATTCGTGAAGCGAGAAGCCCCCAACCCTGATTGTGAAACTGGAACTTTCGGATAACTTAAGTTCACAAACCAAGTGGCTGTCTTAAGTAAAGCAACTTCCACAAATTTTTTAATTCAATATAAGTTAAATACCATAATTCTGACAGCAGTACTTACTTTATTAGGAAATGTGTTTGAGTGTGGATTCATTTTTATCATTATTACTTCGCTAACTTCATGTGTATAACCAAAGAAACATTATATATTTTTAGAAAATAAAAAAAAATGCAAATGAAGCAATATTACAGATGCAACCAATGCCACAGATCTAAATTTCTAATTAAGATGTCACATTCTATATATAGTACAGTATTAAATACTAATGTTTCTTACCACATTCTTCTGCGCCTCGAAGAAATGCTCCAATTGCTCCCAGGTAGCCTTCGTGCCGTAGGAAGAGCGCCTGTACAGCCCCACGGCTCCAGTAGTTGATAGCAAAGCTGATGGTATGCATGCTGACTGGGTGGTTGCGCAGGAAGTAACCTCCAAAGTATACCTATAAAAATTGGGTCATTTAGAGAATAGAAGGGCATAAGAATTATGAAGCATTGCAGCAGGCCTGTTGGCCAATAATAGGCAGGTACCATTTATATCCAACCCTCTCACTCATGTACCTTTAAATTAATTTGCAAAGATACTCAGCATCTTTGCAACTCGGTACTCACTCAGCCTTTAAATTAATTTGCAAAGATACATGTGCCACAAATCGGCGAACGAAAATCATGGAAACACAGTCATTCAATTGTGTTGACCACTCTGGCTGGTGTTTTGTTCATATGGTTCACTTATTGTGTGGTTCACTTGTGTGATCTAACTTGTCATATGAAGGAATTATTAATTGTAAGCTGTGATAGAATGGGAAAGTTTTCCACCAGACTGTGAACTCTGTCTCGACATCTTAAGCAAATCCACACATCCCCCGCTTTAGCAAACAATGGTTCGTCAAACCGGGTTATCTTGAGATGATTTCGGGGCTTAGTGTCCCCGTGGCCCGGTCCTTGACTAGACCTCCACCCCCAGCAAGCAGCCCGTAGCAGCGCTCTAACTCCCAGGTACCTATTTACTGCTAGGTAACAGGGGTATCAGGGTGAAAGAAACATTTTGCCCATTTGTCTCCGCCTCCACCGGGGATCGAACCCGGAACCTCAGGACTACGAATCCAAAGCGCAACCCACCCAGCTGTCAGGTGCCTGGGTGAGTAAATCAGGCCTGAAAAGTGTGCGACCTAGCTGGAGATTCGTTGAATCGAGGTTGTACTGTACTGTCAAGAACTCAGTAATCCAAATGAATTAGTTCATAATTAATAAAGGCCAGGAGTAACAAGCGGCAAGAGTAACCAGGTAAACGGTGGAATTTATTTATATTATGTTGTTTGTGGTACTGTACATAAAATTGTAAGTTTGTTAATTTTTGGACAGTTCTGGTTAGAAATTCTGCCAGGTCAAATGTTTGACTAATTATAATTGGGGGAGGGCTCCATATGTTTCAAATTGCCAATATAGTAGTAGAAAGTATATTAAATCCATTTAGAGCCCTTTACTTTATACATTATAATATTGAGTACCAGAGCTTAGTACAATTCCTTACCCTCTTCAAGCTGTGGAGCATTGCATAAAGAGAAGCAATTTGTCCAATATCATTGCTGACAGTAAACAAAAGACTTCTTGCAATGTCTGCCTCCGAAAAACCTGTGGATTACATGTAATGCATTACTTTTTATGAAGAACTGATTAAAAAGAATAAAACTAAAAGCAATAAAACATTATTATTACGAGATGCCTATTAAATCAAACCATTAGTTTGATTAGTTTAATTTATTAATTTTGTTTTCTAACAGTCAAGTTCTACAGCATTTCATTTGAATAACAAAAATAATTATAGCATAAAAAGGAAACATTTTAAAACAAACAGTTGTGAGAAACTCCACCTGACCTTATGCAGAAAGAAACAGCTTCCATATAAAATACTGTACTATTGTTTAGGCTGTGATAACACTACTATAATTTACAATGCATAATATCTCCTTATAACAATATACTGGTCAATGCAAATCTCTAAATTGATGGATAAATCTTCATCTGCAAGCTACTGTACTTAAGTTATACATAAAGGGCACAATCAATCAAATGTGCAAATAAATATTATTTATATATACAAGAGTTCTCACATTCTTGTACAGTCACTAGTACGCATAGCGTTTCTATAGTTAATGGGTAACTATACTATATTTAACTATACACTATGGGGAAAGTAATTATAAAAAATAATATAACACAAAAGACTTAGCGGTAGACATAATCCCAATACTAATACCAGAAGCTCATGTGTACAGGATAACATCAGCAGCATATGAGAAGCTAGCAAACATAAAACACCAATGTTAAATGCAATGAAATGCCAATTTCTGGGCGAGTGCCAGAGGCTCCTTAAAGCTAATACACTGATTCAGTGCCATGCTACTAGGTGCCATCAGTCACGGAGCTCTTATTGGCCTCCCTAGCCAGAACCTGGCCCCCTTAGAGAGGTGCACACAGCGATGGTACTATGAACACTTTGCATTTAATTCATGTCTGCCACAACCACAGAGAGTAAGAGACAGACAGAGAGAGGAGAAATTGCCGCTTCATTACATTCAATACTCGTTTTCTTGGGGAAGCCCCTTCAGGCTTCCTGAAGCTAACTACCCACAGAAGAAAAGAGGGCACTTACCTGGGAGGAGGCAGCACCACAGGTATCGATCAAGAAAGATACCTTCAGCCGCAACACATGACCCAAAGAAACACAAAGCCGTTGAGGACCAGGAATCTTCACGATATACATGGCCACCAATATCCTGTTTGACCATCAAAACCCATGCCCAAATTTTGGCCCAAGACATTTGCAAACACATCCGTTAGAGTGGCATACTTATGGACATCATGGGTATGAGGGCACACCGCAGGCTGGCTAGCTTTTGTGACACTGCGTATAACCCGAGAAATACGAGCCCTGGAACAGGGAACCAGGGAAACTGGATCAACTCACAAGGAATCCACTGAAGTATAAACGGTGGCTCAAACATAGCAGCGCAAAGCTGCCACCGTACAAAGTGAATGCTGCATCCCAGTTGCATCATTCATCAGCTACATGAAGCGATCAGCTTCAACAGGGGGCTGGTTGAGACAGGTGGTTTGTTTTCATTGCTGGGAGAATTCTTGTGTCTTTTTTAAGGCTGCAGCTTTGTTTTAACTACACAGCAGTCTGTTTTGTTTTGCCTAACATCCTGGGTGCATCCCTGGTGGTGACAGATATAATTAACTTTACATTTAAAGTGCTCATAGTGCCACTGCTCCCTTCGTCTCTCTGAGGGAGCCATGTTATGGTCCGTGGTCCCCAATAGAACTCCACGACTGATGGCACCTAGTAACATGGCACTGAATCGGTGATAATGGCTTCAGGAAGCCTCCGGGGCTCACCCAGAAATTGGTGTTTCATTATACTCAACGCTGGTTTTTTACTGGGTGGAGGAGCTGTCAAAGGATGCACGATGGCCATATTATCTGGCATCTGTCAACGCACTATGCCAAATTTGCCGACACTGAAGTATGCAAGACATTACTTCTGTGGTTTCCCTCGGACGTTTCATTGATTGTTTATTACTTGTTTCTGTTTATTTACAAGAGTGTGTGTTGAATAACTTGACAACTCACATAATTCACATAAATTTTAATTGCATTAAATGTAATTTAACATCAAATTAGCAGTTATCCAGTGCTCTCCCATTGCGGTCACACACTGATGTCACTGAAGGGAATGTGGATTTTGTACAGCTTGATTCTTATGAATATATTTCTGTTGGTCACTCTTAACTAGACATTGTTTTCCAATGACTCCCTAGCATCTTAAATGACCCTCTAAATGCAGTTTGGAAATTTGCCCGAGGTTCCGGTGCAGTATGTCATCCTGCCTAGCTATGCATGATCCTGTCCACTGACCACAGATGATCATACCCGATGGCGCAACAGAATAAGTTACCTCAGAAATGTTTACTTTATGCATGTTCAGAGTAGAATGCTGTATTTATAACATTTTCAATGTTAGTATTTTAATAAGGATCATGAAGTGTAATGATATAACGAACCATGACCAAAAAAGTAAACTGTATTTATTACCAATGTATGAGCGAGAAATATAGGTGTTGCAGATTTTTGGCTTGCTATATTCTAAAATTTACATGGAGAACAGAGGCGAAATTTTGCACAACAAAAATATTAAAATAGCGTATGACATCCCCCGACATTCTTCAAGGATAAACATGTCATCTATATCCTACCAGCAAGGGTAACGCACCACAACCACACTCGTCTATACCTTACAAGCAAGTGAATATACAAGTTTGTATATGTGCTTTCTATTATTTATCCAAAGCCAAAAGCATGGACCACAGTTCTGAAACTTTTTGTATGGCTAATCAAAATATATCATTCATTACTTTTAGGTATCAATTTCCAAGGCTAATGTTGTGATATGCCCATAAGACAAAAGGCTCAAATGCAAGTGGATACAAAGATGTATATAATCAAATATCATAACCAAGAAATTTTAAAATACAAAAAAATACTAAGGTAATGTGATGGGATGCAAGTGCCATTCTTGGACTCGACAATGCATGTGTCTGGAGAAATCCAGAGATGCAAGTTCCATTCCATTACATTGCCTCAGTATGTATTCATAGATACACGACATTGTGATTTAATATGCACTTTAAACCATATTTTTATATATTATGAAATGCCAAAAGAAATCAGTTCAAATTATATAACACCCAAATTAATAAATTTGTAATTCAGGATCTATTAAAATCTAATTTCTAAGCCTAGAAAATTATAATAGTTCCCAGATATTAGATAGACAATATTGAATTCACCAATCAGCAATCGTGAGAGCGGCGGAAGGGACAGCCCCGAAGGAACCAGAATGGACCCCGAAGCCAAACCCAACCAAGCGGGTAAACCAGCACAGCGAAGTTCAAACTCACACAGCTGCTCGAGCAACTGCCGAGTGACCTGGGACCCCCCTCAGGAACATCCGAAGGCAGAACCGCAGCTGGAGCAATGCCGCAGGAGGGAGACACACGGATACCGTCCGAGAATCCCAAACAAGGCCCAGCCAAGTCTGAACCTGGGACGGAACCAAATGGGACTTCCTCCAGTTCACCAGGAACCCGAACCTGGCGAGCTGGGAAAAATCAAACCCCTGGTGAGCAGACAAGCAGTCACGTGGAGTTCAGCTACATTGTAGCCGATATATCCTTGTCGGCCTTGTGTGTCCTTGGGTTTTGTGTCATGGCCCGTGTTTTCTTCGCTGTGATACCTGAGGTACTCCCTCTCTTCCTGGTTTGTCCCCTTATTTTCTTTCTCCATGGGTAGGTAGCTTCAGGGAGCCACAAGGGCTCCCTCAAGGAAAACCAACATTGAATGTAATAGTAGTAGTAGTAAGCATCCTTCAGTCTCTGGAGACTATGGAATTGCGCTCTGGTTGTCAATCCTGGTGCAGCGTCTGGTGTGACTGATGAGGCCAATCCGAGAATAGCAGGCCATCCCACACTGAGCACAAACGAAGTCCGATTCTGGTCTGTCTTCCTGGCTACCGGCTATCCTTCTCTGTCTCTTTGCCTCCAATTTCTTGGCAAGTGACTCCTTGATCTTTGAGAGACCTTTTGAACAGTGCCTCCAGACTGAACGGTCTGTGGCCAGTCTGGTTCAGTCTGGTTTGTCCAAATTCAATTGTACCACTTTCTATTTTCTAATTTCCTTTTACGTCAATATATGTACGATGGTCCTTATCATTACTACAAGTATTACCTAAACAGAGGATGGGATGGAAAAATCACACTAATGTGATATGCAGTGTATATCAATGAGAAAATCCAAGTCAACCGATTTTCAAGTCAGTGGTGATACAGTGGTAGAGTAAGCAGTTGGCATTGCCTTGGTCACGGGTTTGCGTCACCTCAGAGCCCCAGTGATTTTTCTCACCGACATATCCCATTAGTGTGATTTTCTGTGTGTACAAGGATAATAAGGTGCTAGATAAACCAAAATAAAACAAGAATACTAGTATGAATAAGAGAATACAAATTTAGTATGTTTGAATTTAGAATACACAGTATCTGGGTATACCATATACTAGTTTGGAAAATAGGGTTGTTGATTAGATTACCAGTAACATAATAGATGTAAGTTACATAGAGATACGAGCGAGTTTTCTTGGGTATAAATGGGAGCTGCCCTTCCATGGGCCAATGGGCCTTCTGTAGTTTCCTCTATTCTCATGATCTTACAATTTTTGGCAAGTACAAATTTGTGTTTGCATGGATAGATGGATTAATTTTTCATACTTGCTCAGACTTTCAATAGTACTCTATTCCAAGCTGGTCATGTATAAGGTTAATGATTGTGTGGACATGATTGACATAAAACAGACTGCCAACTCTTGGTAATAAGTGCTGGCAAAGTAGTTTAGGATCACCACCATGTAGGAACAAAAACTTTATGAATAATACTTCACTTGCCAGAATTTTCCCAAGTCAGTTTTACAAAATTTAACCAAAGATAAAGTTCTTGTTTCACACGGTATTATTTTTCAACATTATTAGTTTCAGAAAATTTCAAGCCATATTATTTCTTAAAAAAAAATGTTGGAAGCTCACACAAAAAAAATTATTACTTCACATGAAACAAAATCTCACTGAATTCTTGCAAAAAAACTGCAAACTGCCATTGTGCACTTACATTATCATAGAAGTACCTGTTATGCTCAAACGTAATTAAATATTTGCCAAGCAAACAGGCTTATAATCAATCACACTGTGCAAAGTACCCAAAATGTTTGAACAGGCACATGACACAAAATTACATCCTCACAAAGCTGTACTAGAGCTTTTGTCTCACAAACCTTAATATTCAAATTCACTTAAAAACTTTCTTCACCATGATAATGTGATTTATATACTTCCACAACAAGCCAGTGTCCTGAAAGATTACAAGAAGCAGAGACCCTGTTTCCGTGGTCACAAGTACAGCAAGTCACACAGCCTTTCCCTACACACCCCCACAAAACCATTAATCTTAAGGCTTAGCCACACCTTGTTCTACGAACTGTGGTCAACCGATTGACTGTTCCCCCATACCTCTTGAGTGCCTGGCCAGGTGACATTTCATGCACTTATCATCTGTGTCCAAAGATATCCAAAAGTTGTAACCTTATTACATCTTAGTTTGCTAAGATACTAATTAAAATCCACTGTAATATCCAACATAAATATCATAGCATAAAATTTAATAAATGTTTCATGAATAGGAAATAAAATTCATTTCCATGTTTAAAAATCAAATCAAATTAGGATTACATAATAATTATAAAATTTTCATAATAGTACAGAATAAAAATGGTTTGCTATGTAACAGTTGTTGAGGTTACTCTAGTGGAGACGTGGGGTACTGCCTTCTGAGACTTTCCCAGGGAGGTGACTTAAGGTAATGGAAACCTCACCTCGGGTACTTTCAAAGGTTGGCAGGCTAATCACTTTTTACAAGACGTTAATAGATTCGAGTCCATTAATTCAACGGAAAATGAGGGATTGAGCGATATGAAAGCTGGTGGTTACAGGAGCACGCACGCACTCTGTCTCACATGTGAGACAGAGAGAGAATGGGCGAGAGGGGGGGGGGGGACGAGAGAGAAAATGGGCGAGAGTGAGATAGAGGGAGGGGAGTGATAGAGAAACAAATTTCCAGAACTGAAAAACAAGAGCTACAAGGGAAGACTAGAGGTGTTAAACATGCCAAAACTAGAAGACAGAATAAAAAGAGGCGATATGAACACCACTTACAAAATACTAACAGGAATCTACCAAATTGACAAAGTGGAATTCCCAAAACCAGCAACCTCATGAACAAGAGGGCTTACATTCAAGCTAAGGAAACAAAGATGCCAAAAAAATATTAGAAAGTATTCTTTTGCAAACAGAGTGGGAGACAGGTGGAACAAGTTAAGCGAGGTGGTGGTTGAAACCAAAACCGTCAGTAGTTTCAAAGCATTATATGACAGAGTACTGGGAAGATGAGAGCTACACTCGGGGTGTCCAATCCTGTAACTACACTTAGGTAATTACAGAGAAATCACACTAACGTGATGCATCGATGAGAAAATCCGCAGGGGCTGTGATGAGAATTCGAATCTATGTGCCGAGTATTTCTCAGGTACAGAAAGAAATACACCAAATTGATGTATTAAGGATTAGAACTCTAGGGTGCAATATTTTTATCATGTTGTGGCCTAGTTGTCTGGGGGTGCATGCATTTGTATACTCAGCGCATAGGTTTGAATCCTCATCACGGTTCCTATGGATTTTTTCATCGATACTGTGATTTCTCTGTGTATTGAAGAGGATATCAGAGGTGGAACATTCCTAGACAATAGAGCCAGAGAGTAAAGGGGGGGGGGAGAGGGATAATTGTGTGAAACTCTGGATCGGCTTCAATGGAAGCCTCAGGAATCCTCGAGGGTTCAGTAGAAGTCTAAGTCTTCATTTTACCATGTTGTGGCCTAGTTGTCTGGGGTGTGTGTACCTGGAAAACTCGGCACATAGGTTTGAATCCTCATCACGGCTCCTACAGATTTTCTCACTAAAAGGCATCTTGTCCCCAACAATCGGGAAAACCAAACAAAGATAAAAATAAAAAAATAGTGATGTTGAACCGTGTGGATAAAGAATAAAAACAGATGTGTGGAAAACAGTGCTATGTAGTGTGGATTCTGGGGGATTCATCAATATGCATGAAAAGTCATTTCCCATCACTTTGCAAGGTGGATCCTGTGGGTCTCTCCATCTGGTTAAGTGAATGATTTCTTGTAGATATGAAAAGAACAGTATACTGTACTAAAATTGAATAAATTGAATAAAGCTCATCCACACTATAAAAGTGGGAAATGGTAATAATTTATGTACAGTACAGGACTGGAAAAGTATCATATAATGTTGATACAGCAAGAGCATATTTAAATGGAGTACAAAGAGTGTTTTGAAGAGAAATAACTCATAAGTCATAGATGAAGACCATAAGTTTGATGAAGGAATATAGGGAAGGCACACTAGAGAAAAAGATGTAAAAAAACAGGCAAATTTGAGTTAACAATAGGACATGTGTGAAGAGAAAATGTTCTGTGGATGAAGACCTACCTGGACTATCATCACTCTTGGTATGACCGTGATGCATAGCCTTGCCGAAACTTGATGCTATTATACCTCCAGTTAGTCCCAAGGCACTGTAGTCACCCCCTGTAAAAAATTAAATACTTCGGTGAATACTTTCATCTAGTAATGTGATTAAATAGAATCTAAGAAAAAATAAGTAAATAATATTATAAATCAGTTCCTGTGCTACATTTATGCTGGCTAATTCCTTATTTCTCATATAACCATTTATATGAATATTTACAGAGGCTCACCATATATATCCTTGACAAGAAGATCAACATTCCGGTGGTCCCCTTCACTAGCTAGCTGCAGAAGTTCATCGAATCCTTTAGCCTTAGTCAGTAGTGACCCAAGGCCCCAGAACGTCCCACCACCCATACTTGTGCCTCCAATTCGGTCATATTTATCATCTGCTTCAACCTGAAATAAAATCACAAATCTTTCAACTATCATTAAGCTACTTTCATGGTTCAACTGCTGTATAATGCAATATTATTAATATAACCAAAATGCTTAACCCATAAAATGATTAACCCTTGAGGGTGAAAATCATATATACAGTGCACCCTCCATTCAACGAACTATATGGTATCAACACCCAATTCATTGCAGTGAGGGATGTGTTGCAACCCGAGATGGCTCCAGGAGGCCCATATTTGTGAACAAAACCAGTGAAATGTCAAAATGATCCTTGACATCACGGGTTTGAATCCTGGCCGGGTCAAATATGAGTTCTTAGTGATCCATGGCTTGCACGTTCATGCAGTTTGTTTCACATTTGTAAACTCGGCGCAGTCCATGCATGTGCTACAATTTGATAAAAACTTTAAAAATGGATTCGCGAGTGTCATCGGGGATTGTCAATCAAGAAGCTTAGTATGCACCAGGACTGACCAATCCTTATAGACGATAAATGATGCAGTGATCACGGCACTGTGCACGTTTAGGGGCGTTCCTGGAGGTGAAACATGAAAACAAGCAAACGAGCATGATGTCACATGTGCCGTTTCGCTTGTCTGCGTAGCTCCCCCCTCCCCAGGAAGTGGAAGGGGGAGCCCCAGACCCCTCGCACCAGCTATCCCCACCTCAGTTCTTGGCTGATGTGTCTAGGCCAAGGAATATTAAAAAATTTTTTTAGCTTTATTTTTCTGGACTATAACATGAACAGTACCAAATTCTACTATAAAATTGTTCATTTACTTCAATACTGTACATATACAATAGTCCACATAGTTGCAAAAAGTACTATCTAAACTAGATGGTTTGCATGATAATATAATTATGTGAGCCTCCATTCAGTGTAATAAGACAACATACTGTTGACAGCATCCACTCAGTGTAATATGACATGATAATGATGTGAGCCTTCATAATGCTAATACTAGCCTCAGCATTGACCACAAGGTTCCCCTCACCTTCATAATGTTAATACCAGAACCAACATTGAAAATAAGGTTGTCCCCCACCTTTATAATACTATGTTGTTGTTTCAGATTTAGCTACTCAGGACGATGTGTGCATGTAGCAAGAGCTATGGTGAGCCCGTAAACTTGTAATACTAACACAGACCCCATCATTGACCACAAGGCTGTCCTCACCTTCATAATGCTAACACCAGACCCAATATTGACCAGAAGATATGGGAAGATATTGGGTTCAGTATTTATAAAGCGATACTCTGGGTCATCATGTCGGCTGTAGGAGAATTGTTCATCTGGGATGTTCCGAAGCAAAAAGTTGCACCCCTTAATTAAGCTGCCAATCTCATCTTCCTTCTCAACCCTGCATCAAAGAAAATATTAAAGTTCATTAAGCTGGTACAAAGCACTTGAAACTACAAGAATACATTTGAAAGGAATACATTCCCAGTACAGTATAGCATTTTATTGTTAAACAATCTTATTTAGGCCTTTCCAGCATTCCACCATATTTATGTCTAAAATGCACTTACGTTAGCCCTAGTTTTTGTTGAATTAGCTCTGCATATTTATAGGCTCCACCACCCGTTGCTTTTATACTTTTTCCCGCCATAGATTCCTTACTGAAGACTAGATGGTCTCGTATGAAGTCCAAGCAGTGTTCAATGTATTTGGTTTCAAATTTCACAAAGTGCAATCGCTCTGTCTCTGAGCTCTCATAATGGTAATCTTCACCATCAACCTGAAAATGAAGGTTCAATTTACAGAAACAATATTTCCATATACTGTACTCTAACTAGGATCATTTTCTCAACATAACCAAAGAGCAACACAGCTTTTGTAAATACATCTTCTATACAACCCAACTTCTGGGTTAGTTTCTACACGATGATTGATACACGAGATGGTTATAGTGGTGAAGTTTGTTTTATAATAAAAGTGCTGATTAAAATATTAAAAAATGAAGACTACTTACTGAAGCAGCACTGTCTTTCTCTGCATTATACATCACCTTCCTGTGAGACACCGTAGAGTAGTATGCAATCTTGGTCAGTGAACCACCTAGAAAACAAGAGTAAAACATTATCTAACAAGAAACAAATACAACCCACACCAGAGAAAACCCACAATGCCGGAGTACAACCCATAACACCAGACTACAACACCATAGTACAATCCACAAGAGTATAACTTTTAATACTAGAGCACAAACCACAACACCAAAGGGCCGCCTACAAAACCAGAATACAATCCACAGCACCAGAGTACAACCCACAACATCAGAGTATAAACCACAACATCAGAGCATACCACCACCAGCATACAATCTGGAACACTACCAAAGCATAACCCACAATACCAGAGTATAACTTAAAACACCAGAATATAACCCACAACACCAGAAAATAACTCAACACCAGAGCACAACCAACAACAAGAAAGTACAACTCACATCATAGCACAACTAACAATGCCATAATACAAGTGATTTAACAACACCAAAAACCAGAGTATAACCCACAACACCAGATTCAACCCACAACACCAGAGTACAAACCAAAACACCATGGCACATCCTACAACACCATGGCACAACCCAGAACATCACAGCACAACCCACACCATCAGAGAACAGCTCAAAAGTCTGGAAGCTATTGATCCAGACAACTTCCAAGGGTTTGATGCAACACCAACAAGGAGCAATGATTTCAAGCTAACCGAGCCACAATGTTGGCCTGAAAACAGGCGATTCTTTTTCACCCACAGGGTTATAAACCCGTGGAACTGCCTTCTTGCCGAAGCCATAAATACCAAAACACTTAAATTTTAGAATCCAGTTTTAAAAAAATCAAGACAAATGGGAGACCTTTGACAAGCCACCGGCTTCCTGTCCTTGTTGAGGCCACTAGTGTTAGTAACCCTCAAGTAAATTTAGGAAAATAACACCAGAGCACAACCCACAAATCCCAACTCTAGAGTGCTTACCAATATCAATAGCAAAGCGCTTAGCATTCTTTATGTTCCTAAAGACGACATCTGTATCAGGCAGGAGAATGCTGCCGGCATACTTCTGGGGTTCTAAGCTGACAGCATACTTGGGTTCCATGCTGTCTGCATACTTTAAGGGTTCCATTCTGCCAACATACTTTGGAGGTTCCATGCTGTCAGCATGCTTCTTTGACTCCATGTTGCCAGTATACTTTTGGGATTCCATGCTGCCGATATACTTCAGTTGTATACTGCCAGCATGCTTCTGGGGTTCCATCCTGCCAGTATTCTCCAGGGGCTCCATACTGTCTGTATTAACCTGGGGTTCCATGCTGCCAGCATGCGTCTTGGATTCTATGTTGTCAACATACTCCTGATGCTCCATGCTGTCGGTATACTCCTGAGAATCCGTGGTGCTGCCGTCCCGCATCTCCCGAGACTTTGTTTATCTCCATCAGCTGACGGCAGCGTCCACACACAGGCGGCTGCCGCCACCAGATCCACCTGTCGCAACCCTCCGCCCCAACCACCGCTAACTTTACCTGAATTAAGCCGAGGACCATTAAGTTTAGTGGCCTCAACAAAGACGAATTCAGCGGCTTATCAAAGCTTCCCCATTTGCCCTGATGATTTTTTCAAACTCAAAATCTGTCTGTATACTCTAATATCATTTATTATGCATACTCTCTAAAATCCTATATTTATTATTTTATTTATTTATTGTAACATGCTTAGCAAGTTGCAATAAATAAATAATGAATGTTCAGTCCCAGAGTCCATTATGTGCCTCTAACTCTTCCACTATCGCCTACAAGATGGGTATGGGGTGCATAATAAGTGCGCCTACAAGATGGGTATGGGGTGCATAATAAGTGCGCCTACAAGATGGGTATGGGGTGCATAATAAGTGCGCCTACAAGATGGGTATGGGGTGCATAATAAGTGCGCCTACAAGATGGGTATGGGGTGCATAATAAGTGCGCCTACAAGATGGGTATGGGGTGCATAATAAGTGAACTAAACTAACTATATTTACCCGAGAGCCACTAACACTAGTGGCCTCGAGGAGGACAGGAAGCCGGTGGCTTGTCGAAGGTTCCCCATTTATTTTCGTGTTCTTTTCCAATTGGAATTTTAAAATGTAACAGTCTTTGCATTTACGGATTCGGCGGGTAGGCGGTTTATTGATAATTTAATAATAAAAATAATAATAATTCAATGTGTCGCGGGACAGGAAGCAAGAGTGCATTCATACACCTTAGCATTGTATCCTGTTTTACCGCACTCAAAGTCGAATTACTAACTGAATGTTCGGTAATATGTTTATTGTTTGTGATGTGTGTGTCTATGTATATATTAACACGATGTACTGAACGGGGTGAGAATAGCTTGAGCTACCTCATCCCTTTGTGTGTATTTTACCTTAATAAACTTATTTCAATTTCAATTCAAACTCAACCGCCCCCCCCCCCCAGGATGCAACCCCACAACAAGCTGACTAACTCCTGGGTACTTACTCACTGCTAGGCGAACACAGCATTAAGTGACGGGAAATGCGCCCAACTATTTCTAAAGTTCAACCCGCGATTCGAACTCGGAATTCTGGTTATGAGTCGGGAATGAACCAGACCTGAATGAATGAATTCAGACCTCAGAATGAACTGAGCTAAATAAAGTCCATCTTTGGCTAACTGCCAACAAACTCACCCTTAACATTGACAAAACTTTCTATATTCTGTTTGGCAATAAATCCTCTAATCAAATAAATCTCAAAATAAACAATACCCAAATTTGTAACAAATTAGATGGCAAATTCCTTGGCATTCTCATTGACCACAAGCTGAATTTCCAGGGACACATTCGAAATATATAAAAAAAAGTTTCAAAAACTGTTGGCATTCTTTCTAAGATCAGATATTATGTACCTCGCCCTGCCCTGGTGACTCTCTTTACTCCCTCATCTATCCATATCTCAACTATGGTATTTGTGCTTGGGGTTCTACTATACCCAAAATCATTTACGTCCTCTAATTACTCAACACAAAGCTGCTATTAGAACAATATCCAACTCTGGCCCCAGACATCACTCGGTACCCCTACTCAAATCTCTGAATATGTTAGATATTAAGTTCACTCATATCTAGCCAAACTCACTAGTCATATCTACTACTACTAGTCTACTCTACTACTAGCCAAAGTTCACTACTCATATCTAGCCAAACTCAATATACTTAGCCCTTGCCAATATGGATTCAGACCCAAAAAAAGCACTAATGATGCACTTATTAGTATGCTTAGCTCGATTCATACAGCTCTTGATAAAAAGGAGTTCCCTGTTGGGTTATTTGTGGACCTGCGTAAAGCTTTTGATACTGTCAACCACCATAACCTTCTTCTTAAATTACATCATTATGGAGTCAGAGGACACTCCCTACAATACCTCGAGTCCTACCTTACTGACAGGCTCCAATATGTTTCTGTGAATAATACAATTTCTCCCACCCTACCCATCAACATTGGTGTTCCTCAGGGCAGCATACTTGGCCCTCTCCTCTTTCTCATCTACATTAATGACCTTCCAAATGCCTCCCAACACCTCAAACCAATTCTATTTGCTGACGACACAACCTTCATTTACTCCAGTCCTGACCCTCTTGCTCTAAATGCCACAGTAAATACTGAGCTAAATAAAGTCCATCTTTGGCTAACTGCCAACAAACTCACCCTTAACATTGACAAAACCTTCTATATTCTGTTTGGCAATAAATCCTCTAGTCTTATAAATCTCAAAATAAACAATACCCAAATTTGTAACAAATTAGATGGCAAATTCCTTGGCATTCTCATTGACCACAAGCTGAATTTCCAGGGACACATTCTAAATATATCTAAAAAAGTTTCAAAAACGGTGGGCATTCTTTCTAAGATCAGATATTATGTACCACGCCCTGCCCTGGTGACTCTCTATTACTCCCTTATCTATCCTTATCTCAACTATGGTATTTGTGCTTGGGGTTCTACTACCCAAAATCACTTACGTCCTCTAATTACCCAACACAAAGCCGCTATTAGAACAATATCCAACTCTGGCCCCAGACATCACTCGGTACCCCTACTCAAATCTCTTAATATGTTAGATATTAAGTCACTGCACATTCTCTCATGTGTATTATACATATATAAAACGCTAAACTATTATGCCAATCCTGATCTTAAAAGCTTCATAGTAGGTTGTAACAGAACCCATGAGCACCACACCAGAAATAAATGCAGTTTTGATATTCCTAGAGTACGTCTTAATCAAACTAGAAATGCTCTGCAAATCAAGGGGCCCAGAATGTGGAATGACCTTCCCAACCATGTTAAAGACTGTACCTCTCTCAACCAGTTTAAGATAAAAACTAAACACTACCTAATAAATTCCCTGTAATCTACCTCACTCCTCTATTGTCAACCCATGTCTGTTATTTTCTTTTTTTTTTTTTTTTTTTTTTTTTTTTTTTTTTTTTTTTTTTTTTTTTTTTAATCAACACTGTTTGTCAACCTATTGTATTTGTGCTGCTTTTTCAGTCATGTTTCCCCCTTTTTTTTATCTTTATTTGTATTTGTTCTCAACATCTTTTATTCTTTATGCTCAATTAGTATTAAGTTCTAGATATTAATGTTTTCTTGCCCGAAACGCATTGCGTAATAGTGGCTTTAGGCATTGTATGTACTAGCTCTATCTATATATCAATCCATTAATGTAACATCATTTGTATGTATATACCTTACCTGAATAAACATCTAAAGTCACTGCACATTCTCTCATGTGTATTATACATATATAAAACGCTAAACTGTAATGCCAATCCTGACCTCAAAAGCTTCATAGAAGTTTGTAACAGAACCCATGAGCACCACACCAGAAATAAATACAGTTTTGATATTCCTAGAGTACGACTTAATCAAACTAAAAATGCTCTACAAATCAAGGGACCCAGATTGTGGAATGACCTTCCCAACCATGTTAAAGACTGTACCTCTCTCAACCAGTTTAAGATAAAAACGAAGCTATACCTAATAAATTCCCTGTAACCTACCTTACCCCTCTACTGTCAACCAATGTCTTTTTTTTAAATGGCGCTGTTTGTCGTCAGAATTGTATTTGTGCTGCTTTTTCAGCCATGTTCCCCCCTTTTTTATCTCTTTTTTTATTTGTTCTCAACTCATTTTATTCTTTATGCTCAATTAGTATTAAGCTTTAGTCATTTAAGTTTTTCATGCCCGAAACGCTTTGCGTAATAGTGACTTTAGGCATTGTATGTACTAGCCCTGTCTATAAATCCATCACTCTTTGTAAAATCTCTTTTATGTATGTACCTTACCTAAATAAACATTTGATTTCATTTGATTTGAGACTGTACTATTAGGACCCCAGCCCGTCCTCCAAACAAAGACCCAAAAGTGATTCCATGCACCCGCCAATCCCCCTGTTTAAGAATGAAAAGCAGTTTACACACAACCGTCCTCGACTCGAAGTCCATTACATCCAGCGGTCGACCCCATAGATGCATTCATAAATTTTAACAAGCTATTCATTCAAAACGGCAATTTTCTAAAATATAAATTAATATTATAAAATATTAGCATATTGTGCATATTTAGGCAAATGTTAGGTTAGGTTACGTGTTTATGTTCTGTTGGCGATTATTTGTATTTGAAGTACGTGGGTGAAGCATTTATAGCGTTGTGGTTCGAACAAAATTCCTCAGTGAAGCACTTGTTCCAGAAGTGTTCGAACGAGATCAGTTGTGAGTCGTGTTTTAACTGCTTTTCATTCATAAACAGGGGGTTTTGGCGGGTGCATAGAATGACTTTTGGGTCTTTGTTTGGAGGACAGGCTGTTACACACGACTCACAACTGATTTCGTTCGAACATTTCCGGAACAAGTGCTTCACTGACAAATTTTGTTGGAACCCAGCCCGTCCTCCAAACAAAGATCCAAAAGTGATTCCATGCACCCGCCAAACCCCCTGTTTATGAATGAAAAGCGGTTTACACACGACTCACAACTGCTGACGTTCGAACATATCCGGAACAAGTGCTTCACTGACGAATTTTGTTCGAATCACAACGCTATAAATGCTTCACCCACGTACTTCAAATACAAATAATCGCCAACAGAACATAAACACGTAACCTAACCTAACATTTGCCTAAATATGCACAATATGCTAATATTATATAATATTAATTTATATTTTAGAAAATTGCCGTTTTGACTGAACAGCATGTAAAAGTTTATGAATGCGTCTGTGGGGTCGACCGCTGGATGTAATGAACTTGAATCGAGGACGGGTTGCAGGACCCTTACAATTTTAAGAATTTTTATTTAATAATTCAAGAACTCCCCCATTCAATGCATGCGTTTTCTTCCATACATAGAAATTTAATAGTTTATTAAGACAATCGACTTAATAGTTTATAATTAATGTACTATGTTATCGACTTGAAAATGGTCCAGGACGGACCGAAAAGTCGTCGTCCCTTCACTTTCTAGTGTGTGGTCTGGTCAACATTTTTGAGCCACGTTGTTGACTCATCGTCTGCATTAATGTACTATTATTTCTTAAAGCATTTATCTTAGGTCTACCCTGAACCAGCCTATGTCCGTCTTATACCACTTGCAAATTTGTGTGAGACTTAACTCAAGCATCTAACTTTTGGACAGACAAACGGAAATTCTCTTATTGTATAGATAGATAGATAGATAGATATATTGTGACGGTAAAGCGTTGGTGTTCGGCTGTTTCAAAAGCTAGGGGCAGGGCTTTGTCACATAATAGGAAAAAAAAAGAGAAAAGCTGGAGCTTTCGTCTGTGGTAAGGTAATGGGAAGACACACAAAACACAAGTAAATTAATAATGAAATTTTAATTACTCTAGAAAAACAAGACATGAATAAAGTTAAGCACATAAAAATATGAAAGACAAGTCAACAAACAAAATAATATGAATAATCACTGGCAAATGAAAAGTTACGTTAAGACAAGTGAGTTACAGTGATAGCAAAATAAAGTATTAGTGGTGCTGGAATACCGGCTTCGAGCTGCCACCTCCCTTAGTACACGAAAGCCAAGGCTTAGTCTACCAGCGAGAGATGTCAACTGCTTGGAGCACTGAGATATTCTGACGATATTAGCGCACTGCAGCCCAGACGTCAACTTGTGGCGGAGGCGGAGGGCAGGTGCGACGGGACACCAGCCAATCAGCGACAGGCAGGCAAAGGATGAGCAGTTTGCTGGTTACGGCGGTGGTAGGTAGCAGGTGTCACTGTGTGCTGGGTACGATTTGCTCTCTGGGCAAAACGTTTTGGCGATACTTGGTGGATGTATCTTCTATAGTATCTTGTATATTGAAGTACTTGTGTAGGGAAGAGCAGGCTCAATCTCTCTTGAAAGAGATTATCGTCACTATATATATATATATAAATATATATATATATATATATATATATATATATATATATATATATATATATATATATATATATATATAAGGAATACCCGGCTGCATCCGGGACTCTTCCTCACTCTTTCACCCATTCTTCCTCCAATCTTCCCCTTTGGTCCCCGACTCTGTTCCTCTCCCTCCCTCATCTTCCTTCTCTCAATAAAGTTATTATTAAAACGCACCAAAACAACTGAATGGGAAATACACCCACTATTTCACACGGCTCCATGAAAATCACTTGGAGGATCTCTGTAAATGCTAATATTTCTTTAAGCACAGTCCCCGTGTACTTTATTGTACTTTTCTGTACTGTACTTTACTGTTGCAGTTCCTATGGTGTAGTGGTAAAACACTGGCCTGGTGTTTCGCAAGTACTTTGTCCTGGGTTCGAATCCTGGCCGGGTATAGGGTTTACTGGGTGTCAATCCTTAACTGTAGCCTCTGTTTACCCAACAGTAAAATGGGTACCTGGTTGTTAAAGGATTTGGCGGAGTCGTATTCCGGGGAACATATGTTTAAGGACGTGCCCGAAACGCAACACGTGTTAGTGGCTGTTCGGGAATTTAACTTAGTACTTAGTAATAAGCACTGTATTTAAATTAGGCCAACCCCGACCTGCCTTTGTCCGTCCTGTATAACAGACCATTTTCCCTGCAAAGTTTGGTGACGCAAGCTCTTAAGTGTCGGGCCTACAACTTTGGACAAACAAACATTCTTATAGATATAGATAGACACAGACAGTATTCACATATATTTATTAAACCACTGGAATGGTGTCATTCACAAGTAAATGTTTGTCTTGAGACATAACTGCCCTCAATGTTTGTAATGACAATGGTGAGACAGGTTCCGGGAGCACTTTAAGGCAGATGTAGAGTGTCGCTGCTGATTACTTAAATGGTAAACATAAATAAGGTTAAATAAAGAGTGTTCTCTCAGCCGCCTTTGGCACCCCAGATAACTGTTAGGTGCTACCAACATAACACAATGGAATATTAGTATTTTTGCTGGAAGCGAAGCACATCCACCAAAATTTTAAACGACATATGTTAATAAGTAGTATTGAATCAAATTGATGAAATGTGAGAATTTATAGTACTTCATATATATATTATTATTGAAGTTTGAGATTATTGCAGGCAATATAGATGCCGGTGGTGTTGGCAACGTTGGGGAGGACGGGGCCAGTGTTGTTATTGGTGTGTGGGTCCGTCAGTGTGTGAGTGACTCAGTGCGGGAGGACGTGCTCATAGTGATGGTGATTAGTTTGTAATTAACACTAAACAATGTCTAATGCAGCACCGCCCAGGAGGACCGGGGCGATGAAGATACGTCTTACAAGTAAGTAAGGCGTGTGTTGAGGGACGTGGCGGTGGATGTGGGTACTATAATTGGCAGATCTCTTGGCCCAGCTCCGTGCTGCACGGACTAACCCAAAATGGCTGGACTCTTTCCCACTTTTGGGGTTTTAACTCCCATCCTTGGCTGGGCTCACTTGACCCGTCCTCCACCATCCTGGGAGGCTGGGGCGCTGCCCTACTGATGCACCAACTGGTCAAGACTTGACCTGGGTGAAGGTTATTGATGGAAGAGTAGTGGAGAGTGAGAGGCAAGGTTGTTCTGGGGGCAGGATACTCCCCGCCACTCTTCCTGGCCAGTCTCTCTCCCTGTGAGGGGCAGTGTTGTCTCCCTGGCCAGTCTCTCTCCCTGTGAGGGGTAGTATTGTCTCCCTGGCCAGTCTCTCTCCCTGTGAGGGGTTGTATTGTCTCCCTGGCCAGTCTCTCTCTCCCTGTGAGGGGTAGTATTGTCTCCCTGGCCAGTCCCTCTCTCCCTGTGAGAGGCAGTATTGTCTCCCTGGCCAGTCTCTCTCCCTGTGAGAGGCAGTATTGTCTCCCTGGCCAATCCCTCTCCCTGTGAGGGGCAGTATTGTCTCCCTGGCCAGCCTCTCTCCCTGTGAGGGGTAGTATTGTCTCCCTGGCCAGTCCCTCTCTCCCTGTGAGAGGCAGTATTGTCTCCCTGGCCAGTCTCTCTCCCTGTGAGAGGCAGTATTGTCTCCCTGGCCAATCCCTCTCCCTGTGAGGGGCAGTATTGTCTCCCTGGCTAGTCTCTCTCCCTGTGAGGGGCAGTATTGTCTCCCTGGCCAGTCTCTCTCCCTGTGAGGGATAGTGTTGTCTCCCTGGCCAGTCTCTCTCCCTGTGAGGGATAGTGTTGTCTCCCTGGCCAGTCTCTCTCCCTGTGAGGGATAGTGTTGTCTCCCTGGCCAGTCTCTCTCCCTGTGAGGGATAGTGTTGTCTCCCTGGCCAGTCTCTCTCCCTGTGAGGGATAGTGTTGTCTCCCTGGCCAGTCTCTCTCCCTGTGAGGGATAGTGTTGTCTCCCTGGCCAGTCTCTCTCCCTGTGAGGGATAGTGTTGTCTCCCTGGCCAGTCTCTCTCCCTGTGAGGGATAGTGTTGTCTCCCTGGCCAGTCTCTCTCCCTGTGAGGGATAGTGTTGTCTCACTGGCCTGTCTCTCTCCCTGTGAGGGATAGTGTTGTCTCACTGGCCAGTCTCTCTCCCTGTGAGGGATAGTGTTGTCTCACTGGCCAGTCTCTCTCCCTGTGAGGGATAGTGTTGTCTCACTGGCCAGTCTCTCCCCATGTGTGGGGTAGTGTTTTCTCACTGGCCAGTTGGAACTTAACAGGATGTTTGTAAAGTTCCTGTATCAAAAGGTCTGATTACCTGGGCTAGTGAATATTTGGGCCTTTGGATTGCTGCAAGCAACAGTCTTCCTATCAAGTTATCACTAGACAATCCTGGATGTAGAGAGTGGAAGAGTTAGTATGTGCTCTGAGAGGGGGAGTCAATTACCATCTTGCATTGCCTTTGAGTAGTCTGATGGCAGTAATATACCAGTACTGTACTGATAAATGCGGGAAAGTCCAGTAGACTTGAAGCAAAGTGATAACTCATACCAGTAATTCCATCTGTTATGCAGGAAGAGCCACAATTATTTATGGATCATTCAGTAAGGTCGGGAGACTTCTATTCGTCACATGTAATGCACATATGAAAGGTCACATGTAACACTCGAAATGTGCAATACAGTAGCTTTAAGATCAACAAGCCACAATGTAGGACAGGAAATAGATATTTTTTCACCCATAGAATTATAAACTCGTGGAACTGCTTACATGCCAAAGCTATAAATGCCAAGACATTACTTGAGTTAAAAACCAATTAAAAAAATTCATAAAAATTGGTGGGGGGGGGGGGGACTTTCACAAGCCACCGGCTTCCCGTCCCCATCACCATCATGCCCACTAGATAGATGGTGCTATTCAGGTAAATACTGCTACATGTGGGCTTGGCTAAAAGTACCTCTGGGAGTGTGCACCACATGCTGAAGTATTGTAGCTCTGACAAAATGTAAACTGTCAGAATAACTACTGTACATGTATTTGCATACTATTCACATTTACATACTGTACTTTACATTGCTATGTGCTTGAATATGAAACAAATTGCAGAATTCAAATATAACTAAAGTTTCAATTATTCAAGAAATGTTAAAGTACCTGCATTGTACCTAGAGGGGGTTCTGAGAGTTCTACTTATCTACTTCCTTGTCTTCTACTTCCCATGACTCAGACTAGGCCTGATTTATGAGAGCTTGGTCCAACAGGCTGTTTCTTTGAGTTGCCCGTAAGTCCACATGTCCACTACAACCCGGTTGGTCCAGCATTTCTTGCAAGAAATCGTCCCAATTTTGCTTGAAGTCCACTTTTGTTCTTGAAATGTTTCTTTTAATTGCTGGGAGAATATTGAATATTTTGGGCCTCTAATGTTTATAGAATATTCTGATATTTTCCATATATATTTACTCTCCTTTCCAGAGAGTATATTCTGAGATCTTTGAGGTGGTTCCCAAAATTTTGATGCTTTATCATGTTTGTGTACAGTGCAGTATATGCTTTCTGTATTTCCTATATTTTGGCAATCTCTCCAGCTCTGAAGGGAGAAGTTGAATATCAAGCTGCACTCAAAGTGAGATAGCACATGTGATTTGAATAAAATGAGCATAGTGATGGGATCCCTGAATTTGCAGGTTCTCATAATACTGTACAACCTTTTCTGGTTGATATCTTTATTGGCTTAATTATGCTTCCTAAATGTTAAATCATCATCCCAGATCTTTTTATGGAGCTGAGTGCATAGCCATGTTGTCAATGCAGATCCATATATGCAGCATTTGTGTTGATATCAGTTATATTGTCAGGCATTTGGATATCATTGATAAAGAAGCTGACCTGATCCCCATTTTCAATGCTTATTGGGGGGTGCTAAACATAGCCTCATACAATACTTTTAGTATTGTATGAGGCTATGTTTTATTGTACTTTTAGTACAATATTTTATTAATGTCATTCAAAATGATGTACTACCAGAAATCTTGCCCAGATACTCAGTTTGCTAACTGTAATTAGTGCATGCACATAATTAAATTTTCCACAGCTGCAGCTCATTGTGTGGGTATGTGGGAGCATGATTAGTATCTGTGTAACTGGCACATTATAAATGATAGTTGCTCTATATAGAGGTTGTTGTGCACTTTGATAGAAAAGACTAATAACATATCAAATTGTGTAACTACAGTGCATGTATTAGGATTTTCATGAGATTAAATAATATTGCAGACAACAAGCCTCCAATATGATAATCAGGTCTTTCAATGGGCCACAGAAAACATGATGTTTATTGAGGATAAGTTCCAGCCTGCAGGCCACTCAAAGCAACAGCCTGGTGGACCAAACACTCAAAAGTCAAGCCTAGGCTCAGGCTGGGCTTGGGGAGTAGAAGAACTCCCAGATATCAAACAGGTAGCTACTGCACAATGGAAAAACTAAAATATGAAAATGGAAACCGTACATAAAATGCAGTCAAACCACACTATTGAAAGAAAAAACAATGTAACAGTTTTGGGAGTAATCATGTTGGAAGACCTTACTTTTATAGAACACAATAAAGCAGCTGTCAGAACTGGAAGGAAAGTATGGCAGGTTGGATAACAAGAACATTTCAAATGAGGTAAGTTGTTGCAAGAAGTACTGGACCAATTGGGCTGTAGTGGATGTGTGGGCAGGCAGCCTACGTATCCTACATTATCCTACAGGCAGCTGCAAGCAACGGCCTAATGTACCAAGTTATCACAAGTCGAGCGTGGCCTCAGGCCAGGCTAGTGGGAGAAGAACTCCTGAGACAGAGGGTCTAAGATCCAAGTATGCCATACCAATGGTACTTTTTAAGACAGTAGTGCACTCTAAGGTGGAATATTGTTGCTTGAACAAATCAGGGAGCTAGTGCTAGAAAATGAAGTATGGAAAGTGAAGAGGGGTGACTTTTAAAAAATGAACAAGAAAATACTCGAATTGTGAACAACTTTAAGGAACCCTAAAGACTAACATGGAGTTAAACAAGGATATGCAAACAGAAACTTTATTGACAAATCACGTAGAGGTGGTTAATAAAGAACTAGAAAAGTACAAAAATGAAATTAAAGTTACTTTAATTTGCACAAGTTGTAAAAGAGAGAGAGATGATCAAGGAAATGTAATTGGAAGTCAAAACCAGAAATGACCAACAAGAAGCAGACATTAGATAAGCAATCAGGAAAGAACTGGTAACTAACAGAAAATTAGTACAAGACACTGCAGATAGAAGCAAGTCCATAATAATTTTTGGGTGTTTAGAAAATGAAATATCATCTAGAATGAACAGCAGCAGCAGCAGAAGAGAAGAAAATCATTGAGAAAATAGTAGATGTAGGAGAAGGCCTCAGTTCAAAGGAAAATGTCAGTGATTGTAGGAGGATAGGAAAATATGAGACAAGAATTGTCCCTTAAGGGTGACATTTAATGGAGTGAAACAAATGATGGAAGTGCTTAGAAATGCCAGGAAATTGCAGTAATGAGGATGGCAGACTTTGGTCAATAAGACAAGACTTCTCAAAGGAAAACAGAGAAACACTGAAAATTATCCTTGAAGTGAAATGTCTAAATGTGAATAGAAATGAAGAAAAATATTTTTTCTACAAAGTATTAGGGACTGGAAAGCTAGTGAAATGGTACATAAAAACAAAAATTTATTAGAGGAAGGAGGAGTAATAGAGAAAGGGAAAGGGAAAATATTCCTGAAAATTGTATATACTGTACCGTCATAGATGGAGCGAGATAAAAAATAAAATAAAGAGGTCGTTTTTCCAAGGGGATACTCAGTTTGGAGATGTGACAGGAAAACTAGGAAGGAGGGAGGAGTGGCTGCACTGGTGAAAGAACACCTGAAGATAAGAGTTAAAAATCGAAAACCT